TTGATGAAATTAGTATTGCTTTTTCTTTTTCTCTTTATATTTAATATTTTTGTTCAAAATTTTTAGTGTTTATTTTTGAGAGGAGGGAGGGGCAGAAAGAAAGGGAGACACAGAATCCAAAGCAGGCTCCAGGCCGCACACTGTCAGCACAGAGCCCGACTCTGGGACTTGAACTCACGAACCATGAGATCATGACTTGAATGAAGTTGGACACTCAACCAACTGAGCCACCCAGGCGCCGCAATATTTTTCAAGTTATCTTCAGTAAACACGCTCATTTTAACTAGGGTGTGTTAAGCCTGACTATATTCTAGGCATCTTCCTAGGCACTGAGTGTTAATGGTGAAAAACCCAACAGCCCACTTCCTGACCTGATTGGGTTTCCAGTGTGGAGATCAGGAAAATCAGCAAATGTCTCTTCATCATATAATTAACAGGTATGTGCCTTCCTCTCTCATCACATAAACACCCCCCACAACAGTGCTAAATGTGCAAACACCTCCATACACATCAATAGTTCACCCAAATTAATGAAAATTATAAGTTACAAATTGATAAATGAGTCAGTGTCCCATGTAAATATATAGAGATTTTTAACTCTATTTTTTTCAAAAAGGAATTTTAGGCATGCTGAATATAATAATGGTTTTTAAAACCAGTAACATTTTATTTAAAAAAATTTTTAAGATTTTATTTTTAAGTAATCTCTATACCCTACATGGGCTCGAACTCACAATCCTGAGATCAAGTCACATGCTCTACCAATTAAGCCAGCCAGGCACCTCAAAATCACTAATATTAAACATTTTTTTATGGATGAATTAAAAAAAATTTTTTAACGTTTTATTTATTTTTGAGAGAGAGAGACAGCATGAGCAGGGGAAGATCAGAGAGAGAGGGAGACACAGAATCTGAAGACGGGCTCCAGGTTCTGAGCTGTCAGCACAGAGCCCGATGTGGGGCTCGAAGCCACGAACCACGAGATCATGACCTGAGCCTAAGATGGACGCTTAACTGACTGAGCCACCCAGGTGCCCCCCCAAATTTTTAATGTTTATTTATTTTTGAGAGAGACAGACAGGCAGACAGATGGACAAAATCTGAAGTAGGCTCCAGGCACAGAGCCTGATGTGGGACTCAAACTCACGAACTGCGAGATCATGACTTGAGCTGACGTCTGACGCTTAACCGACCCAGGTACCCCAACAGTTATTTCTAACAAAGGGATTTTGAGAGACACCCATACTTGAAGGAATATTGCCGTGTCCTGAAAAATTAAACCCAGATCATTAAAACTGCAACTCTGACTGGTAATCTTACTTATTAATGTGTTAATAATGTGTGGACTTGGTAGTACTATATTAATTAATCTTACTGTCTCCAGCAAAGTATAAATAATTATGAATTTTCTTAATTCATAATTCATAATTATTCACAGAAGAGTTCAATGTATAAAGTGCTTTCCAAGTCCTCAGAATTAATCCAAGACCCTTTCAGCCTTAAGCATCCCATCCTGACACAGCCCAATGAGGTAGACTTTTAGGGCTCCCACATCCAGTTCCAGTGTTTGGGGGGCTGTCTACATGCATCAGCAAGCAGTTCTCACACACTAGCAGGGTGTACAAGAATTCCTCTCAATTCTGACACTCTCTCCCCAAAGATAGCACAGATCCCACTTGTTAAGGACTCAGTCCTATGGGACTACACCCCAGGAAGGACTCAGTCCTACAGGACCACACCCCAGCTTTTATATATGTTTCTTACTGACCCACTACAGATTGGAGGTTACAGTGACCTTCTTTTTGGGTATGATTAACTTGCTAGAGTGGAACACAGAACTCGAGGAATCACTTATTTACATTTACCAGTTTATTAAAGGATATGATAAAGGATGAAAACAGCCAGATGAGGAGATACATAGAGCAAGGATTGGGAAGAGGGCACAGGCTTCCATGCCCTCTCCAGGCCCACCATTTCCCCAGTTTTCACCAATCCAGTGGCCGTGTGAGCCCAGCCATTTGGGGTTTTATGGAGGCTTCATTGCATAAGGATTAATTAAATCCTTGGCCATAGGTGACTGATTCACCCCTCAGGCCACTGACCTCTGTCTGGATGTCAGGAGGAGGGAATGAAAGGTCCATTCCTCTGATCACATGGTTGGTGCTCCTGGTGATCAGCCTCCATCCTTAGTGAGGTCCAAGGGTCACGTCATTAACAACTAAAGACACCTTTCTCACTCTCAACACTCAGGAAATTCCAAGGGTTTGAGAGGCAGGCACTGTAAAAGACCAAATATAGAGGAGACATTTTCATCATCTGAATGACCAAATTTTTATTGCTCACAGATGATAGTATCTCACGTAGGTGAGATATCATTGTCTTTCACGTTTCAAATTCATGAAACTGTTCATTCTTTCTTCCTCTGTCCCTCTGAGTGTGAGACCTATGCCACACATGCCACTCTTGGTCACAGTATTCTGTGAGCCTTCCTTATTAACTTTGGCTTTCTCATTTTTCATAGCCTTGGTGTTCTTCTCATCCACTTAAATTAATTGTAACAGAGAAAAGGGAGCTGTCTGAGGCCTCTTGACAGCCTTGTCACACATAGCTAATAGGGGAGGGGTAGCATCTAATGTATTATGGAAACCAGGTCACTTTTGAGAGTGAAAGGGGTTGTCACTATGAATTAAGCTGGCACAGCAGGCCCTAACGGAGATGGTCCGGTGACACGGTCCAGGGACACGGTGACTCAGAGGAGACCTGGGGAGGTCTCTTTAAGGCCTGGAGATTGTGATATTGCCGTGCCAGGATGGCTTTCTTTTGCAGGTGACACAAAGGAAAAGAGCCACCTGTCCCTATTGACTATTGTGGTAAGCATGGCCTTGCAGGGAACCGAGTGTCCCTCCAAGAAGCCGGAGTACACAAGTAACAAAAGAGGAGAACTTGCAGTGCATCTCCAAGTCCCTGTGAGGAGCCCCTCTCGGTGCCTAGACATTGTTGTCCCTGCTCATTCTGCATTGTTTCTATCAAAGAAAGGAACGGCTTTAATGAAGATGGAAAGTGGGCAGTGGCTTTCCAGCCCGGAATGGCCTCAAAAGGAGTGAAGACTTGTCAGAGGATGGGATCACAGGCCCAGGATTTCTGCCTTGGGGAACCTAGGAGGAGGGGTGTGGGCATCACGTGGCCTCCTCTGGGAAGCGGCCCCCCAAGCTCTCTGTCACCAATGGCTGTGGAAGGTTGGTAACTGCCCCTCTCTCCACATGTCTACTCCTAGGACCCAAGGAGCCAAAGCTGCTCAGGGTCCTGGCCTGGGCGGACCTCACGGAACCCACCTTTCCGAGGTAATGATTTGTATGCAGCATATCCAAATGCCGCTTAGCTTTGCCTTGGATAAGAACCACAGGGACAGAGAGATCCTTTGACAGACATCTGCTCTACAACGTTCATCTCACGGTGCCTACAGGAACTAACAGAAGGCCAGACCCAGAGAGGCGTCAGTCCCAGTGTGGCAGGCTCCAATCTAAGCCTAAGATAGTCTCACACCAGTGCATTCCTTGCCTGATTTGCTTCATCCTGGGCCAGCCTCCCCTCCACTATGTCCTGCTCAGATCTCCTCCTGACCTGTAACAAATCCGAGGTCCGCATCCTGCTTCTTCTCTGGGTGACAGGTGGAACACGGGGCCCACCTCCTTCCTGGCTGTGATTCACCATCTTCCCAGTTCCAAGCTGTCCAGTCTTCAGGATTTATCTGCATCAGCTTGGAGGCACGAGCATCTCCAATGTCTGCTCATATTCCTCTTCTCCAGGGCACACTCGGGGCAGAACCCGTGAGCTCCCTGGGCTGGGCCTTCCTTGCCCTACTGCCGTCCTCAGGCGTCCAGCCCCAGGCCTGTGAGGACACTGGGTGCAGGTCTGTCCACTGGGTCTCCCACTGTTGCTACCACATTACATATGCATCACCTCTTCTCTAGGGCAACCCGATTACCTGACACTTCCCCTTTGTCATGAAGGGTCAGTCACGGGTAGGTGAGTGGACCATGGCCTCCACCAGGCTGATGGCACCTGCGTGCACTCCTTCCCGACACAAACTTCCTTGACTCCCATCGTGAAGCCCAGTCCTGCTTTTCCAGCTGAAAACAGCTGTATCAATACACCGCCCGGTGTGGGCAGCGACCCAGCTTTCTCTGCACCCTTCCTGAATCTTCAGGTCTGATAATTTAACAGCTATTTCCTGATCATTTCTTTAAAACTATTTATTTTTGAGAGAAAGAGAAAGGCACAGAGACAGAGGGAGAGAATCCCTGGTAGGGTCAGTACTGTCAGTGCAGAAGCCAATGCAGGGCTTGAACTCCTGAGCCATGAGATCGTAACCAGAGCTGAAATCATGAGTCGGACCCTTAACCGACTGTGTCACCCAGGAGCCCCTTACCTGACCATTTTATGTGTCCTTCCTAAGTGACACTGTATCACATTTCTACACTGCAGTTCCTCAGTTGTATCCTGCCACGAGGAGCTTCCATAACAACTGATCACAGAAGAATCCCTTTTCCAGGATCGAGTCCACCCCACTGGGTTCTGGAAGCTTCATTTTCCTGATTGTCGGTCCTTCCTCCCCAACTACTGCTCTCTGGGGTCCCGGCTTTCTCCTTAGCCACACCTTTAATGGAGCCCATTCTGCTCCTCCATTTGCCTTTGTTCTCTGATTCTTTAGGCAATCATATCTCTTTTCTCATTCGGAATACGCTTCACAGCAACTCTCAATACACTATTGTGTGGGGAAGAAAACCTTTCTTACCAGCAGTGACACCAGAAACAAGTAGAAATTTCCAAGTTTGCTACATGCCTGAAAGCTGCCAGATTGCACAACCTGGGGATGTAGATGGGCGTGACAAAGGAGCCTGATGTTCTGTATGCTGTGTTCTGGCCAAGAGGGATTTCCCAAATCTCAGTGTTTTGCTTCAAACCTGCTTGCCTACCCATTCCCCAGGAGAGTGTCAGTATATAAAATGCCAGCCCCTGTCACAGGCAGGAGGCACAAGAAGCTCAACCTCACCAGGATCCACAGCAGGAAGGGAGAGCCAAAGGTGAGGCACTAGAACTTTCCAACACATTGCTTCTGTGCAGATTCTTTTACCCAATGGCATTCTTGCGCTGTGTCCCCGCTCTATGCTTCCTTCCTGAATCTACTATCCTGGCAATTCGAATTCCCCAGATGTGAATACTTTCTGGGACAAGGATTTAGTAGTGTACTTCCTCTGCAGAGTTCATGGATGGGTAGAGCAGGTATACTGCAAACATGTGTGCGTTGTCTCACTATCCTCATTTTACAGATGAGTACACGGTCACAAAATCCCCAAAGGCCTCTCTGGAAACTTTCTGACAATGGGTTCGTGGCTCATAGCGGATGACTGAAATGGAATGTGGTTTATATTAGAAGTGCAGCGCAACCTTACACACTGGGATTCCAACGGGGCAAATGAGACGGAGAACCGGACCTTCTGGAATTCTCCATGTATCTATGTGCCACCTGCCTACATATACGTACATGCATTGCCTACATCTCTCTCTCTACACATTTATACACACATATGTATAGACACGGGTAGATATGTACACATGCACGTGTATAGACGTGTGTGTGTGTGTGTAGATAGATACAGGTAATATTGAGTGTGGTTCAGTTCTGGAATACAGGTGTGGGTCCGCATGACTCCCCCCAAAACCAAACCAAACCCAAACTGCGTCCTCCTTGCATGTCTCCTTGTCTCTGCAGCAGGATGAAGCTTTTCGTGGGCGTCCTATTGTGCTCCCTGGTCCTGGGCGTCAGCAGCCAGGGATGGTTCACATTCCTCAAGGAGGCTGGGCAAGGTAAGGACCAAAGGATGGGGGTCCGGAGAAGGCAGCAGCTGGCCCCTATCAGAATTCACCACAGTGGAGGTCACATGCGCACAGGGTGAAGGCCACAAGTGGGAAGAAAAGAAGAACGGTTTGCAAGACAGCAGTTTCCCAGGCTTTTGAGAAAAATTGAACCATATCTGACATAACATTGTATACATTGAAGGTGGACGTCATGTTAATGATACTTTTGTATATGTAAGATGATTGTCATTGTGGCTATAAGAGCACGTCTATCACATGACAGTTATCCTTTCCCTTTAGTACTTGAAATAATGAAATTCTAAACTGTGGCCAGGTTGATAATGATGATACAACACTGATTTGTGTTCACTCTACTGTGCGCTAGATCTCTAGAGCTTACTTCCTACTGATGGTTTTTCCCCTTAAATGACATCTGTCCTATCCCTCTGGCCCTGGCTTTTCTGGCCAGCACTGCACAGTTCCCTGGGGATCCCAGACCGAAGGTCACATAAGCTTTGGGTTTTAACTTGCAGCAGGAGCAGAAGACATCTGGGGTCCAGGGCACCTGCTACCTACTCCCACGTGGGACTCTACTGTCCCCTACTGGGAACTCAGGGACAGCCCATTGCTGTGTCTCAGACACGAAGTGCGTGCTTCAAACTTGTGCACTTAGTAACTACAACCAACACTAACTGAGCTTGGCCTGTTCCAGGCACTGTTCTAAGACTTTACCTGTATGAATGAACTCATTTTCATCCTCAGGTTTTAATCTTTAGTCCTGTGACATAGGAACTATTATCCTTTAACAGAGAAGCTGAGGCACAGAGAGATAAGAGTCCTAGCAAAGTTCTCAAGCAGAGCAGGATCTACCCTGGAGTCGAGCACCTCAGACCTTGCTATGAACAAGGACCATCCTGCCTCGCGGACCAGAGAGCGCAGGGGACAGTGAGGGGTTTGTGGACCCATATCTCGTGTTTATCTGAGCAAATGGCAGGCAGTCAGGATGTGGTACAGGAGGAAAGCAACTCTGCACAGCTCCTGTCCCCACCATAAGAGGCACAAGGAATTACATGATGATGGTTCTGCTGGCGGGAGACCTGGCTGGGCCCTGAGAGCAAGAGATATGTGCCCATCAGTCAGAGTCAAGGGACAAGAATTTGTTTATTCCACAAAATTATTTATTGTTATTTTTCTGTGATCCTCACTGCTTTTGTTTTAAGAACACAAAGGTTGCTGTCAGCCTTTTCTAAATTCTCACAAGGCACAGCTACAGATGGTTTTTCATCTCTTAGGTCAATGTTTTTCAAAGGGTTTTCTAGGACCACTTGCATGAGAATCACCTGGGGTCTGGGGTGCATTGTGGAACACCGGATCCACACACTCCCCTCTGCTGAATCCCAGTTTCTGGGGCTGAGCCTGAAATCTGGCCTTTACCAAGCTTCCAGTGGCTTTTTGTGCCGCTAAAGGTTGGAAACCACTACCTCCAGCTCTGCCCCAAAAGCGACCCATCTCTCAGGCATTTTGGAAATCTATTTTTTGCCAATGGACACAAGGCATTATATAAATCAGTAACACGAATATAGGAAGAATACCGCTCAGGGCACCAGGGTGGCTCACTTAGCTTAATTGTCTGACCTCGACTTAGGTCATGATCTCACGGATCGTGGGTTTGAGCCTACATGGGACTTTGGACTGATAGCTCAGAGCCAGGAGCCTCTTTCAGATTCTGTGTCTTCTGCTTTCTCTGGCCCTCTGCCGCTCACACTCTGTCTGTCTCTCAAAAATAAACATTAAAAATGATGTCGTACCACTCAACAAAGTGATCTTTGTAAATAACAGAAATAATAAACAGAAAATGAAAATATGGCATACATGGATGTTACATAAACTATGGTTATACTCGACAGCAAGTTTTTCTCTTTTACCTTCTGCATTGCTTTTTTAAAGACTTCATTTTAGTGTAGCCTGATCAGATTCCTTCAGTCTGTAACTCCCTGATCTTCCTCTTAACATAGTCCCATTACGGTTTTTGTCCCAGCCTTCCTAAGGCCCAGGGAAGTGATAGCATATTGAACACCTACAATCTTCTAAAAGTCGTATGTGCACTTTCTCCATTCATCTGCATAAACTCTCTGCGGAAGGCTATATCCTCCTCCATTTGCTGGGGAGGACACTGAACCTTAGAGCTAGTGGACCAGGTACCCTTTTTTCTGCATCTGATGACCCTGTTTTTGTAAATCTCTCCAGGGGACCTCCCCCTAACCACTAGCTGGGTGCCAAATATACTCCAGGCATTCAGAAATTTTCAGGACCAAGTTGTCATCATGATGCCCACCGGGATAATTTCTCCCCTTGACCTGGTTGGGAGGCCTCTGGGTCAGCAGCCTCCCTCTGACTTGCCTTCGTTCTCAGGCTGCAGTCAATGGGTTCCCTGTGTCTGTCCAGGTAGAGGTCATCGCGGGACAAAGCATCCTTTACTTAAAGACCATCCCACTCTTGTTGGCACACATCACACACAGCCAAACAAAAGTAGCCAACAGGACTTAGAGTGGAATCAAATAGAATAAAACTTGCACCAAGTGTGCCTCTCAGAACATATACCCAGGGAAGTGAAAGGTAAAGGAATATTCATCCCAGCCAATATCATCTCCAAGGATTTTGTCAAAAGCTGAAAGGAAGAATCAGTGGGAGGAAAATGTCTTATTTCTCTATTTTGCCAAGATATGACCACCTTCATCTCATCATTTTCTTTCCTTTCCAGGGGCTAAAGACATGTGGAGAGCCTACTCTGACATGAGAGAAGCCAATTACAAAGATTCAGACAAATACTTCCACGCCCGGGGGAACTATGATGCCGCACAGAGGGGACCTGGGGGCGCTTGGGCGGCAAAAGTGATCAGGTAACGGGGCTCCAGGGAATGCAGGGGTGGGTGAGCTGAGCGTGGCTGCTTTGGACAGCCAGGAGGGGCCACGCCCTGGAGAAGTCTCCTGTAGAGACTGTGGCTCCTCCTCCTCTTGCCCACCCTCCCCTCAGTGCCCAGTGTGGGGTGTGAGTGGCTGATGGAGCCAGAGCAAGGCCAGGGGGAATGGGTGGTCCCCACCCTCCCCCTCTGAGTGCTGTTCACCCAGCAAAGGGACCAGCCCCAGCTGAGGTGGTCTGTTTCTGGGACAGGGGTCAGTGTTTTAGCCCCTTTCCTTGGCTCCCTTCAGCTATCCCTTGCAAAACTCCTAATTAACCTCCTACCTGCCTCCCTCCCCCCAGCGACGCCAGAGAGCATACTCAGAGGTTCACAGACTTATTTAGGCATGGAAACAGCGGCCACGGAGCAGAGGACTCGAAGGCTGACCAGGCTGCCAATGAATGGGGCCGGAGCGGCAAAGACCCCAACCACTTCCGACCTGCTGGCCTGCCTGACAAGTACTGAGCCTCCTCTTTGCTCTGCACTCAGCACAGGGGCTGGGAGGCCCCCGAGGGCAGAGACACCGAGTCATTGAGTTCTCTGTCCACAGATGCTGATGAAGGGCACCTAACAGGTGTCTAATAAATCCTTAAGAGATTGTTGAAAAATACGTGTTGTTGTTATGTAAGAACTGTCTATTTGTTCCCCGGGGTGATGGAGGGACACCCACGTGCAGGCCGAGCCTGTGGGCGTGTGTTTGGTGCGGGGTGACCATGTCAGTGTCACACAGGGCAGATGTCCTGTACTCCCCCTTCCTGGATCAGACCAGCTGCCCTATCCAGCCCCCTCTGGTTACCCCAGTGCTCTTTCCAGGTTGTTCGTGTCCAGACCCCACTCTCTTGTCAGATGTGTCCTGTCTCCTTCTCTATCCTCAGCATCCGGTTCTCTTTGATTATATTCTCAGGGGACACAGCCATGGGAGGATGGTACTGTGGAATCCTGCTCCGGCCACCACCCCTTGATCTTGTGCTGGTTTCTCAGCAGCACCTTCAAATCCAGCTAAAACCAGTTTCTGTCCATGCCATCTAAGACCTGTATCCACAGCAGTTTTTCTTTGCCATTACTCGGTGTCTTACTCAAAAGGTCCCAGGAACAAAATATATCAGGAAATTGGTGGCACAGTGACAACATCAACTTCTGGCAGGTTTTGTTGTCACCTCAGTGGGGGCGCTCTTGTCAACTCTGACCCGCGGCACCCAGTAAACTTTTTCTGCCATGCATTGGACTATAGCCACACACTTCCTAACAAGACCTTAATCTCAGCTTTTTGAGGGCCCTTTCCTTAATTTATTCCTTCATCTGTTACTGCTTTGTAGCCAATCTCCTGTAACTGCTTAATGATTCTTAATATTAAGCTTCCCTCTGGGCACCTGGCTGGCTCAGTTGGAAAAGCGTGATTATTGATTTCGAAGTTGTGAGTTTGAGTCATAATTGGGTGTAGAGAATACTTAATAATAAATATAACTTTAAAAAATGTTTAATGTTTATTTTTGAGAGACAGCGAGAGCATGAGCTGGGGAGGGACATAGAGAGAGGGAGACAGAGAATCCAAAGCAAGCTTCGTGGTGTCAGCGCAAAGCCTGACATGGGGCTCAAGGCCAAGTACTAGATCATGATCTGACCTGAAATCGCATGCGCAACTGATCAAGCCACCTTACATGGTCCATGCATCACCAGCTGTTTCCCCAATAAATTACCACATTGAAAACATAAGACTCGCCCACCTCACCCTGCACTCCTGCCCCTTTTCCTCTTCCTCCTACTGGTATGACTTGTTGAAAGAACAGCCCACCTACACGGTCTGATTCCTTCCTTCAGACTCACACTTGACTCTGCTCCAGCCTGGCCTCTGTACCCACCATGCCAGCAAAGCAACTCTTGTCCACCATGGACTTCCAGGTAGCCCAAAACAATTGACATATTCCTCCCGGTACAAGTAGGCCTGTGAGCAAAGTTCAGCACACCTGCCTTCTCCTACCTTCTTGAAAGAAGTCCTCAATTTTCTGCATTATATCACATTCTTCTTTTGTCACACCCTCCTGGCTCACTGATCTCCAGCCACATTGTTCTTCCTTCAGTTCCACCAAAAAGTCAAGCTCTAATTTGCCACAGGACATTTGCACATGACGTTCCTTCTGCCCAGAACACCCAATCCACCTGTTCTTCACATGGCTGCTCCCTTCACACCTTCTATCCCTCGCGTGAAATCACTCTTCAGAGAGGCCTTCTCTGACTGCTCTGAGTCACCTACCATGGCTATTCTTTCCTTCCTACCAGGCACCAATATCTAGGATGATTTTTTCTTATTTCTTGTTTTACATTTCTGTTATTCTTTTTGGTTTTGTTTTCATTGTTTCCTTGGTCTGTCTTCCATCCTAGTTGTTAATAATTTCTGTCTCATTTAACTTTAAATATCTGGCACTATGCAAAGTATGTGGTACATAATAGAACACATATTGAATGAATGAATGAGTGAATGATTGAGAGAATTTACTTTTTAACTCATTAGTAAAAAAGGAGGGGTCAGGGTAGGGTCATAGATGATGGGTTAACCTGAAAAAGATTAAGGAGTTACTACTGAGAAAGGAAGGAAGGTAAAGAGAATATAGTCAGGAGATGCTGAATACTTGAAAGGGAAGACAAGGAACCTGAGGGAACCCAGTTGTACCTGCTACTGTTGTACATTATTGTCCTCAGGACTCACCACAAAGGGGAAAAAGGGGGTGTATCTTGCTATATGTCATCCTTATATCCAGGGTACCTGCCACAGCTCCTGGCACATAGGAGAGGCTCAGTAAACATTTACTCAGTGAATGAATGAAGCAGGAAGAAAAGCATTCTGCACAGGATGACAGACCTGGGAGTGATGTTGGGACTTGTGGAGGGTGGGGAGATTTGATACAGGTTTTCATCTGCAGAATGTGGTAATGTTTCACTTCAAGATGAATACCCAAATCTATACTAAAGTACTATCTAAGCTGACATAATTTCACTTTACCCTAGAAAAAATTAGATTCCTAGCAATGTTTTGCAAGCTTTCTCATTAGAAATGAAAATTTCGACCCCCCGCCCCCACCCCAGTGATGGTGTTTGGATGTGTCAGCTTGGCTAGGCTGAACCACAGTCCTCACAGCTCCCTTTGGCTGTGAGTTCTGGCGGATGGGCATCCAGAGTTAAAGGATGAAGGGAAGCAGGAGTAACTTGCTCAAGGTCACAGCTCTAGTGAGTGGTAAAGCCAGGATCTGAATGCAGGCAGTCTGACTCACCTACACTACTAAGTAACAATATTCCCTAGTTCTCTGATGGGGATTTACAGTGAATAGGTCAGGGAGATAAAAGCCTCCACTACTGATGAAATTGTTTTGGGGAGAAATGGAAATGTTTTTTTAGACTAGTCAAGACCCAGCCCGGTTCCGTGAGCAGGTTAGCAGTGAGGGTGCATACAAAGCCCCAGCCGGGTCACAACCTGGACTCTGCTTAGCTTTTGGGGCACCATCTGATGGGTCCTGGGCCCATGGGGTCTCTCACTATTGGGTAAGTGTGGTTGTGCCATTCTCCCTGGCTATAGCTGGAGGGCTGCTTAGAGGTTAGACTGAGGATCCTTCAGTGCTTTGTGCACCAAGCCATGAGCCGAGATGCACCTGTAGGTAGGGAGGTCTGGGAGCTTAGCTGTGGGGATCTGAGGACATCAGAGTAGGGGGAAGGAAAAGGAAGCAGGTCATGTCAGGACAGAGACCATCACTGCTGGCTGGATATCTACTATTTCTTACCTAATGGACCCTTCACTTGAATAACAGACTAAGTCTAGGTGATAAAGTCTCAAAGAACAGAAGAAACCTCCCACCTCCTGCCCTCCTCACCCCCACCACCCCTACCACCTCCCCTAGGTTCTTCGGTACTCTACTTGGAAACAACCCCAGTGAGCAGGGGTAAGAGACAGGGGTGTAGACCAGTGAGGGAGCATGGCCAACATAAGGATGTATTACAGAGCAGGCCACAAGTAAGAGCCTGATAGCTAGAGCTCAATCCCATTGGGACCTTCTAAGGAATGTAGTAAAAGATGCCTGAGCACTATCCACCAGGATTCAAAAAAGAAAAGCACCTATCAACTGGTTCCCATCTCCGTTGGTCAAGTGTGACTCCTTGAATATTAACCTTTCTACATGCCATGGTTGCACACATGCTGAGTGCTCTGTGGGTTTCCCTAGTGTGTGGAATAGACGTTGAGTGCCCTGTGGGACAGACCCAAAGCCAGGTGATGCCAGGTTACACCTGCATGAAATGGTTCAATGCTCATCAATGATGGAATCATCATTGCAGAAGTGGCTGCAGGAAAAGCGGGGGGGGGGGGGGGGGGCGGTGCCAGAGGATCTGAAGTAGTGCATAAGCCATATCTGATACACCAACACTGTGCTTTTCTAAAGCTCATGGAAAAAACATAGGCATCAGGGTGCCTGGGTGGCTCAGAAAGTTGAGCATCCAACTCTCTTTGATTTTGGCTCAGGTCATGATCCTAGGGTCATGGGATCAAGCCCCACATCAAGCCCTGTGCTGAGCATGGAGCCGGGTTAAAATATTCTCTCTCTCTGAGCATGGAGGCTGCTCAAGATATTTTCTCTGTCTCTGTCTCCCCCTCTCTCGCTTGTACTCTCTAATAAAAGTTGAAAAAAGGAAAGAAAAAAGAAGAGCACAGGCATCTCCAATATATGGACAGTAAATTCACTCAGGAATGAAGGGATTGATTGGATCTTAGGCTGAGGATAAAAGAGAAAAGAGGGAAAGATACTGGTTAGCCAAGACAGGGAGACAGGCAGAGGCGACCAGGAAGGACAGAGAAACGTAAGCTACCATGGACTTGTGGAATGAATCAGGCATGAGCCTAGAGATGCCACAAGCCAGGGGCCACCCCAGGGGGATGTGATCTGGATGGAGCACAGTGCTCTTTGAGGGACTGAGTGCTACCGGGCTTGGTAGGGATATGGGGACATCCTTAGCAACAGGGTTGTACCTGCTACACACCACATGGTATTTTGCTTAAGATGATTTGTTTTTGTTATCTCACAACAAAAGTAGTTTGTCAGAGGTTGGAGTAAAATTAGGGTGATAGGATGACCATTATGGTTAAGGGATCCACGGAATATATGAGCCACAAGGTCCCCAGAGGAGACAGGTTTGAAGGACAAGGAGAAGCAAGTTTTGTTGGCTAGGGCTTGTCTCCAAGCATCAAAACCAAATTCTGGTAAGCCCGGGCCGCACCACCTCATTTTCTCCTCTAACTTCCAACTTCAACTCCAGTCCCCAAGACCATAAAGGCCATTCCAATGGAACCCACCAGCACTAGAGGGGGACCAGAGAGTCTTAGCTTGTGTTTGACACATTTGGAGGCAAGTTTCCAGGCATACTTCACAGAAGCCTCTTTCTCCGAAATTATTTAAGCCTAAATAAACTGAGAATGGAACAAGTTGTGAGACTGGCTCTATTTCAATTCCTCTAATTAGGGTGAGGTTAACTTGCTGTAACAAAAACACAGAAGCTTAAGGAATAGAAAAATTCACGTTTCCCTTAATGTGGCAAGGAATCCAGCTACTAGGGGCCTTGGATCCATACTGTCCTTCAGATTCCTTCCAAGTTGCTACCTGACTTCAGACTGAGCCTTGCTACTCAAAGGGTGAAGCCAGGAAGTACCACCTGGGATTTTGTTGGAAATGCAAAACCTCAGGCTCCACCTCAGACCTACTGGGGCAGCCAGAGCCAGCTACTCAATGCGTGGGTCCCAATGCATTATTATTAAAAATTCTAAGATGATGAAAGCAGGGCACTCAAGCAAGCCCAGGCCCCTGCTAAGTATGGGGCTCTGCAGAACTACACAGGCCTCATGCAATGAAGACAGGTAGTTTACTAGGAAAAACTACACAGTCAGGGGATCAAAACCACTGACACTATGTCACTAACCCCAGGCTCTGCCTATTGATAATGGTGCCACACCACTAGCGGGAAACGTTAACTTGAATATTCACAGTGATTCAGAATAATGTATTACTTGAGCAAGACGGGAAAACATTCTCTGTATTTAGGACACAGTGGTGCCAGGTGTTTCTCTGAACCCTCTGGAAAGAATTATCAAGTGGAAATTTTTCCAGACTCCTTCTGTGGTTTGTATTTGGTCCATTGGACCAGGGCTGACTGGAAACTCCAGACTCCTCATCACCACACGGCAGCACAGCACTGTGCTGTAATTCTGTAGTGTTATTCGGAAAGTTTAGTGGTATGCAGGTTTCTTCTAACTGAAAGGGTAGGAAAAGCTCTGAACCCACTCTAAAGTTACTGTTTCCTTGTTCTGCGACAAAAATGGTTAAGATGGTAAGGTTTAAATTATCTGCATTTTATCACATTTTAAAACCACCAAACTTGGGGCGCCTGGGTGGCTCAGTCCGTTAAGTGTCCAACTTCAGCCCAGGTCATGATCTCACGGTTAGTGGGTTCGAGCCCCATGTCAGGCTCTGTGCTGACAGCTAGCTCAGAGCCTGGAGCCTGTTTCAGATTCTGTATCTCCATCTCTCTCTGACCCTCCCCTGCTCACACTGTCTCTCTCTCTCTCAGAAATAAATAAAACATTAAAAAAATTAACAACCAAAAAAATAAAACCACCAAACTTGACACATAGAACTTGAAGGCACAGAACCCTCGTGGATTTCAACAGGTGGGGACAGGGGCAAAGCACACATCAAGGTTAAGCAGGGGCACAACCAGAGGTCCAAGTGCAGCGTGTATCCAAGAAACAGAGAACCCAGGATGAGGAACAAACTCTGGAAGTGAGAAACTGAGTTTGGAAAGAAGTCACGGAGGGCCTTCAATGACAAGCTCAAGGATTTGGGTTTATTTTAAAAGCAGAGGGGAGCCACTGAAAGCTTCTGACTGGGAAGAGGCATGATTAAGGCCGGTCTCAATAGGACAAGGATTTTCACAGTGGATCTCCAATTAACTTCCCATGGGATCAAAACAGGGGTTCATTTAAAAACCAGGATAACTGTGAGATACTAAGTCTAGGAATGATATCGGGGTGAGAGGCCAGCTGAGGATTAAATTAGACCCTAGCTGTACAGATTCCAGGTCTAGGCCAAGATCCCTGACACCAGCATCTTGCGCATGCTCCTGTGGTGACTCTGACGTACAGCAGGTTTGGCAAACACTTCAGGTGGGTGACACCCAGGTGCTTACACTCTGAGGAGCTGAGGCTGAGTGGTGGCAGTGGGGAAGGCAAGACTTTAGGCGTGAAGAAAGAAAGGTCACAAAGACCGCTGCAAGTGTCCAGACAAGCAAGGAGTAACGAGAATGTGGATGGGCAGCAGCGGAGACTGGAGAAAAAACGACCCCTGGAAACCACCACCACAGTATTGAGAGGGCTCACCTGGTAACCGGAAGTGAGGTTGAGAAGGGGGAGAGGCAAGAATGACTATAAGGCTTTGAGCCTTGGGCAGAACGGGGGCAAATTTAACACCAGAAGCAAATTATTAACTTCAATTTTGGTCTTCCCACTCTCTCGGATTCATACAAACCAGTTTACATGGGTCTGATCACTCCCGGGTAAAAGGATATTCCACACCTTTCAAACAACAGCTAATATTTATTCCCTGTGCACCGGTCACAAGCACTACTGCCCTGCACTTGAGTCTCATCTGTCACTAACAGGTGACTCTAACCTATGTGCCAGGCACCGTGCTCTGTTCTCCACATTCATGACCTCAGTTAATTCTCACACTATCCTGAGTGCTTACTGTCCCCCTATTATAGATGAGAAAACTTGAACTCAGAGAAACAAAGTAACTCCCCCAAGGTCCCTTACAAAGACACAGAGCAATATTCCAAGCTAGACAATCTGCCTCGGAACCCAAGCTCTCAGCCACTATGCAACTCCGTAGCCCTGTTAAAAGTGATGCAACCATGAATCACTGTCTAGAATCTTTAGGCAAGTGAAAGATACGAGTTGTTTGAAAACACTGCCTAACAGCCAACTAGACTGATGAAATTTAAACATTTAACCGAAGGGGGTTTTTGTTGTTGTTGCTTGGTTTACTTTGGAAAATAAATTCTGATGATGCAATTTTTTTTTTTTTTTTTACTGCCATAAATTTCTCTGTACCCTTTTGGCAAATGAGGACTGCTGTAATATGCCCTAGAATAATCTGCTAGGAAATGACTGCATCACTGTGCCAGTTCAGGCTGTCTCCTTCTCCTGAGATTTCTTCTGGGTCTTCTGGACAGTCATAATGTAATGACAAAAGCTGAAAGATAGTGAAGGGAGGGCTCTTTCTTGATCTTTACTTTAGTACAGACTCACACTCAACATAATCCAATACAACCCAAACCCAGCTGGTGCTAATGGGAAGGTATGATACTGTGATTTATAGTAAGAGATATATATTTGGTCTTCCTCCCATTTCTGGCACAGAGCTCCTAAAGCCCTTAGAACCTCCCAAGTGATGAGTACCACAGAGGTGTCTTGTACTTTCAGTCTCACCCCCCAAAGCCCACCCCTCATCTCAGGAAGGGAAAGGGACTAGACATTGAATTCAATCGCTAATGACCAATGATTTAGTCTAGTCAATCGTCCTCCTGCAACAAAGGCATAAAAAACCCGCAAAGAACTTGATTCCGAGAGCTTTTAGACTGGGGAACACGTGAAGATTTGGAGAAGGTGGATCTTAGAGAAGACATGGAAGTTCCTTATGCTTTTCCCCATACCTTGCCCTATGCATCTCTTCTATCTGGAGTTTGAATTAGTGCCTAAAGTGGAGGACAGTCTTGCCCTTTACCTGTGGGATCTAATGCTACCTCTGGGTCAATAGTGTCAGAATTGGCTTGCATTGTAGGACACCCAACTGGTGTCAGAAAATTTCTTGGTAAGGGAAAACACCACACACACACACACACACACACACACACACTCACTCACTCACTCACACACTCCACCCCCACCCTCACTGTAGACCACAGTCGTTAGGTTTTCCATGTTTCCCAAACTCTAAGAAACTCTGTGAAGTCTCCCTTCTCTGACAATGTCTTCAACCCATCTGGTTACATGATATTCGAGTATCATGTGGAAGTGTGACAGCAATTTTTGTCTACAGTTCTTTGGCTGTGTTCTGAATGAAAAACAGAAGTGAAACATTCAACATATCCAACACTTTTTTTTACTCCACATTGAACTTACTCCAATACCTTCCTTCAAACTGCTCACAATAAACCTCATGTCTGTATTCTATTCAAATAAAAACTTAACCAGATTTTACATGTATCATTCACGTAACATGCTATGTAAACATACAGGAGCTTGACGGAGGCATTCTAGTGCATGGCTTCAATGATACAAGTGCTTGCTGCAGTCTTTGTTAGTACTTAGCTTTCCTTTATTATGGCTTTCAAAAAACAATTTTTAAAGGTGCATGATTCCTTTGGACCACTGTTTAGGATAGATTAGAGATAAAACATTTCTAGTATTAAATTAGTCATTTGTATATAGGTTCAGATTAGAAAATGTCAAATACTAGAGAAAAATATATTTTAAATTAGCTCTATTTAAATATGGGCCATTTCATGTAAATATCTAATTTGTATCTTCAGTGTTTCACTTATTTCATGTGTTAATTCTATTATGGCAGGTTTTATTTCAATAATTTCTCAACTATCCCAGATAAGATATAAAAAAAAATCCAACTCCTGCCAATGACTATCTGTCTTCCTACAAGCAGGATGAGAAACTTCTGCTCTTATATCAAGAGTCACAATAGAAAAATAATTCCCCCGATTCACTAGCAAGGGGAAAACAATACTGTAGTTCAGCTGTGAACTTTCACATTCTGACCCCAGGGCACTTCGATTCAGTAAACAAGGACTGATTCTTTTCAAAATCCATCCCTGGTTGAGAAACACTGAGGTCACAGAGCCACAAACACAGAAGGTATGGACACTGACAAAAGTATTCCCAGGAAGGTGGCAGGGTTTTGAGGGGGTACCTTTCCTTCCACAACAAATGTGCTCAGGAGGCTCAGGAGCATGATTCAGTTTTTCTCAAAATGTTATGACGTTGTGATGAGTCTTCTTCCACTAGGCCTGCTGAGACCAGAGAAACCGATCACATTTTTCAAGCATGCTTTGTATCAAGGCTCTGAAATCCCAAAGAAAAAAAACAAGCACATTTAGTTTTCAGTAGTTCTCTTTAAAAAAAAAAAAATTTTAACCCACAAAGAATTAAAGGATTCAAAAAGTTGACTGTTTCATCAAAAGACACAATCAACACAGTGAAAAGGCATCCTGATAGGAGAAAATACCTGCAAATCATGCATCTGATAAAGGGTTAATATCCAGAATATATAAAAAACTCATACAATAACAAAAAACATTCAAAAACAGACAAAAAGACTTGAATAGAAATGTTCCCGGGGCGCCTGGGTGGCTCAGTTGGTTAAGCTTCCCACTTCGGCTCAGGTCATAATCTCATGGTTCATTAGTTCAAGCCCTGTGTCAGGCTCTGTGCTGACAGCTTAGAGCCTGGAGCCTGCTTTGGATTCTGTGTCTCCCTCTCTCTCTGCCCCTCCCCTGCTCACACATACACTCTTTCTCAAAAATAAACATTAAGAAAAAAATATTTTTAAGTGTCTCCAAAGATGATATAAAACAGCCAATGAGCATATGAAAAGACGTTCAACATCACTAATTGTTAAAGGAAATGCAAATAAAAACCAAAATACTTCTTACCTCATGCCCATGAGGATGGCTACTATCAAAAAAACTAACATCACTACTGTGGGTGAGAATATGGAGAAAACAGATCCTTACACACTACTGGTGGGAAAATGGTGTAACCCTATGGAGAACAGTATGGCACTACCTTAAAAAATTAAAAATAGAATTTCATATGACCTAGCACTTTCACTTCTGGGTATACACCCAAAATTGAAAGCAGGGTCTCAAAGGGACTACTGTAGTCAAAATTATAGAGACAGAAAATAGACTGGTAGTTACCAGAAGCTGCATGGAGGGGGTCAGAGGAGTTGTTGTTTAATGGGTTAAGTTTTGCAAGATGATATGGACATACTTAACACTACTGAACTAAACACTTAAAAATGGTTAAGATGGTAAATTTTACTTTATCTGTATTTTACCAAAATTAAAACAAAACAAAAAAATCCCTGAGACAATTTGATATTTCGTACTAACACCTGTCTTAAAGAACTGAGCACACAGCAGATTTGAGTAGTCCCATGAATCCAGAATGTCTCGGTCACGAGTATGAAACACAGTATTACTTTAGCCTCTTCCTTTAATCACCTTAATTAGCAGAGGAGTCTCAGTCTCCTCATCTGTGAGGGGTGGAACTGAATGATCTCTACAGCCCCACCCCTTCTGAAAAACTCTGAACTTCCACTTTCCCCAAGCACCTGTGCAGAGGGCATGACAAGGGCAGAGGGTATTACCTCTGCCTTTTCTCGGCAATTCTTAGGATATCGCAGGTTCTAGTAAACCTCTGTGACAGCTCAAGGGTCAAACCACATTCCTGTAGCAGTGACCAGGCGCGATCTGGGCCCATGGACTTAGCTAACAGGAGAGCCACATTTTCCACACTGATGGGAGAAGGCCCATCACTGAAGTTCCCATTTGGTGACTTCTGGGGGGCTGGCTTCATGCTCTTATTCTGTACGAGATGTAGGAGAAGCTTCCATTCCTCCACAGTTTCTGGGATCCAACCTATACAAACACACAGAAACACACAATTTTGGCTCTAATGGCTCTTAACGCTCTGCCTGCCTATAGGAGACAGTCAAAACCATTTGGAAAAATGTTTAACACCAAAACGTAAGAACATAATCTCATCATCCTAACACAAAGTTGTTTTCCTGAACATTTGTTGAATAAATAATTCATGATAAGGAGAGGTCATGATATTAACTTCAAAATTCTTCATTTTGCTCACTTAGGACTCCTTGAGTACGGTCTAGGCTAGATGTGCACCTGCTGTGCAGTGCGGGACCACCCAGATATGCTGACCCTTACACTCTTGTGGAGCTCAGTCTAAAAAGGAGGTATAAACACAGAGCTAAATCTATACTTATAAACTGGGCTAAGTGCAATAAATGAAAAGATCAGGGAACCATCAGAGAAAATGGGAGGTTTGGGGGAGGATCTAAGAAGGGCTCTGTGAGGATGGGACAGGTGAGCAGAGAGCTGAAAGACCGGTCAAGTTTAGAGAGGCACATGCCCGTGGCTCACATATGGACAAGACTGAGGTTGCAGGGCGCTGGGAATGGACAGTGAAGGAGCCTGCATTTCTGACAAAGGAAACACAGAAGGCAACTTGACACAGGACATTACTGGAATTTAAGAACTCAAAGAAAAGCCTACTGTGCACAAAGGCCTGGATTTTATTCTGAGTTCCACATAACACGTTTCAAGGAGGGGAGCCACATCATCCAATTTTTGTTTTAAAGAACCCTTCTGGCTGCTGTAGGGAAAATGGATTAAAGGTGGGAGAGAATGGAAACCAGATGACTACTCTGAGGTGACTGCAGCCATCTAGGCAAGTAGCTAGGACCAGGGAGCTATGGTGGAGCAAAAATAAGTAGACAGATATGAGATACACATCTGGCACGCCTTGAAGAGCAATTAGTATGAGTTACAGGGAAAGACAAGTATCAACAAGAGACCCCAATTTAACACACCAAGGGTAAGAACAGCTGCTATCATTTTATTAACAAAATATGCAGAGTCTTTTTATCTGGGCAGAAAGGATTTTAAGTGGGATTTATTTTGTTTATGCTTTCTTTTTTTTTTTTTTTTTAATTTTTACTTATTTCCAGGAGAGAGAGAGAGAGAGAGAGACAGCGTGAGCAGGGGAGGGTCAGAGAGAGAGGGAGATACAGACTCTGAAATAGGCTCCAGGCTCTGAGCTGGCAGCCAGCACAGAGCCCAAAGCGGGGCTCGAACCCACGAACCGCGAGATCATGACCTAAGCGAAAGTCAGATGCTTAATCGACTAAGCCACCCAGGCGCCCCTGTTTATGCTTTCTTAATTTTAGTTTTTATCTATAACAAACATTGCATCATGACTTTAAAAACATAAACTGCGTATATCTTAACTGTTCTGGTTATTTTTCAGAAAGGTAGGTGTGTTTATAGTTCTAGTCCTGCACAACCACCTGTCCCTCTTCTTCATTTCTGAAACAAAGATGGTAATGATCTTTGCAATGGCTGGGACATCTGAAGCTAACACTTGCTCATCAAGTGGCTTCTTTGCTCTAGCTTTCCCTCTCCCACTCCCATAGGGCTGAAAAGGCTGTACATCACACTACTGAATGAAGGACCCTATGTCACGCAGCTGGCATCTTTTCACTGAAAGGAATAAGGCAACACGAGAAAAAAGACCAAGATGGACTCTCAGACCTCAGATATCAGTGTGTCAAAGCAATGGCCTTCTGTCATTTTATCTGTGTTGGATTGATGAAAATTAAAAAATAATTTTTAAGTATCTAAATATCTGTGAAAGCTTAAGGAAAGCTGGCTGCCACTCCATTTTAAGTTCTTTTTTTTTTTTTTTTTAACGTTTTATTTATTTTTGAGAGAGATATAGACAGTGTGAGCAGGGGAGGGGCAGAGAGAGAGAGGGAGACACAGAATCCGAAGCAGGTTCCAGGCTCTGAGCTAGCTGTCAGCTCAGAGCACTGAGCCGAAGTTGGACGATTAACCGACTGAGCCACCCAGGCGCCCCTCATTTTAATGATACTGAACTGGTGGCTGTGTAAAAGGCAACATGGCACAGAAAAAAGAATCTGAGCACAAACTTTAGAGACAGTCAAACCTGGGTCTGAACACCTGCTCCATCAGTTGTATGGCTTTGGGGAAACAGACTGTCCTCCCCTAGGCCTCAGTCATAACTTCTGCAAAACAGAAGTAATGGGAAATATCCCAATGGTTTGTTATCTCATTTCAACAGCAAATGGAAAAGTACCCAGTGTATACATAGTAGGCACTCATTGATAGAAAAATTGCCTATAGTTTACTCCTAATTATGATTTTGTAATATACTAAGTGGTATTGATAAAAAACAAAACAATGGGTACCTGGATGGCTCAGTTGGTTAGGCATCCAACTCTTGATTTTGGCTCAGGTCACAGTCTCATGGTTCATGAGATCAAGCCGAGATAGTGCAGAGCCTACTTGGGATTCTCTCTCTTTCTCTGCTCTCCCCTGCTCACGCTTCTCTCTCATTCATAAATAAATAAACAAACAAACAGACAAAACAAACCTCTATAAATCTGACAGCTAGCCAGAATTATATACAGGATCACTGAAATGTTCAACCAAGTTTCCTTATTAAAAAGTCTGCAGTGGCTTCTAAAATACTACAACCAAGAGTAACCAATTGAGATTTACATACCATTATCCCCTTCCATCAGGCTCATATCATTCAGACACACAATGTTGTTGAAGGCCTCTCTTCTTCTCTCCAGCTCCAAACAAAGAGTAAGATATCCAGGCCAGAAACTTTAAAGAAACCAAAGTTGAAGAAAGGAATAAAAACAGTGAATTTATCTGGAGTTGTGCTGTCCAGTAGACACTAGCCTTAAATTTAAATTAAATAAAAATAAAAAGTCAGTTCTTCAGTTGACTAATCCATATTTCAAGTTTTCAATGGCCACAAGTGGCTAATGGACACTGTAATAGGATATTTCCATTATCACAGACCATTCTATTAGACAGCCTCAATCTAGAATGTATAAGAAACAAGAATAAACGCTAGAGATAAATACCGATATTTGAGGCCAAGCACCAGTTATGAGATGTGTAGGCTTATGTCTACTTTATAAACTTTCAGATTTCTTCCCCAAATATGCAAACTCTGTAAGTTCTCCTTGACTTGTCCCCCTCTTTTATTTGCTATACCCATTGCTTTTAAGTCCCACTGTATTTTCCTTCAGAATGACCCTTGGATGTGCTCCTTCTGCTGCTATACTAATCACCAATTCAGTCATACCTGAATTACTGCAACAGTTTCCTAGCTGGCCCGCCTATCTCCAATCCTTCTGTGTATGACACCAGAAAGGATTTTCAGAAAGCAAGATTTTTATCATGTCATTGTTGTGCCAAAAAACCTAAACAATCTCTACTGAAAACTAAATTCTTCTGATGAGCTTTTAAGGTCCTACATGATCTCAACACCCACCACACCTGGCTAGTTTCATCCCTTATTATCTATAAACAAATATGTATCAAGTACCTAGCCCTGTATGAATTAGGAATTATGAAGAAAAAGAAAGACATAAGTCCCTATCTCCAAAAGATTATAATCCAGGTGGAGCCATAGGATAACAGTGCCAGGCAATAAATAACTTATATGTGGTATGGATAAAAAGCAATGGTCAGTTTCTCATGCCCTTGCTATTGTGTTTCTCTCACCTGACCCACCCTCCCTTTGGGCTCCTTTACCATACAAATCCTGCTCTCAGGGCTTTACCTCCAAAGTAAAGGAGGTAACTTAGGGACTTACCTCCCTAAGTCCTTCACCAACAATTCAATTGAGCACATTCTATTCTCTCTCTTCACAGGAAACCTGTATCAATTTTAAGTCTTATCACATAGTCTGGTGCTTAATTAAATACTGTCTACATGCCTGAGAACTGGAGCTAGCTACCAAGGACCAAGGGAAGAGAGGAATTAGCAAGGGTCAAAGTCTTCTACACAACAGAAAAATATGTACAAAATTTTAAAGGAAAAAGGTATTTATTTCACTATCACTTAAAATGAAAGTTATTTCTCTGTAGTAAAGAGAATTCCCAAATGATAAAACATATCAATTCAGGTCCTTCACTACAAAGTTATTAATGAAGATTCTAATCTTCAGCTTCTAAAACAATTCTCACTTACCCATGAGACCTACAGATGTCAGTCATTTTCTCTTTGGTTGTAAAATCTGCAGGTAATTTAATGAGATGAAGCACCAGCTGACTGTAACCCCAGGAAAACAAGTGTGAATGGGGCCTGTGAAATGAACAACTCTCAGTGAATTAGAGAAGAAACACAGTTTACAAAATGCTTATTCACCATCTAATACATAAGTATAGAGTTTAATTATATTTGTTATATAATTGACAAATTTTTCTCATTGTCATTAATATGTTTTTATAATATCCATTACATCATTATATCTATTATTACTATGTTTTTCAAACATTTTTACTCGGCTTTTGAAAAATTAAAAAGAGCTATTTTTTCTGTAACAAATACCTGTTCATTTTTTAAAATTAGACATTTTAGGTAATCAAAAGCAAAAGAAAGGAGACTATAATTCATCACTCATAGACAGGGCACCATATGTCCTTCTAGACCTTTGACTACGCAAATAAGATGGCCACACAGGGGGATTTTAAAAAGCTCCTCCCAGAGGTAAACACAAGAGACACTTCTAATACATTACACGTATTAGTATGTATTTCTTATGAATTTTTTTTTTTTTTTAGTCCCAAATCAAGTTATGCCTAGAAATTTCCAGGAAGAAAACATATAATTTCCTTCCTCTAATACAGGTTTAATCATCAAGGACTCTTAATGTGGACTCATGAAAGAGCTTAATTATTTGAAATCATGTGCAAAATTGTGCAGGGATGTGCATTTTTCTGAGAGGAATCATCAGAGATCTGTAACTCAAAAAATGTTCAGGGGCGCCTGGGTGGCTTAGTCGGTTAAGCGTCCGACTTTCGCTTGGGTCATGATCACGCGGTTCGTGGATTCGGGCCCCGCGTCGGGCTCTGTGCTGACTGCCAGCTCAGAGCCTGGAGCCTGTTTCAGTCTGTGACTCCCTCTCTCTCTGACCCTCCCCTGCTCACGCTGTCTCTCTCTCTCTCTCCTAGAAATGAATTAAAAAAAAAAAAAAATGTTCAGAACCACTAAGAAGTACACTCAGTTTCATTACTATATGACTAGGGTCAGTCTCTTCTATAGCTATTCTTGAAGTAAGCCCAGAATGCTACATGTGAATAAAGCAGTTCCATTCCAGGAGAACATCAGAGCTGGAAGGAGAACTTTTATACCTGGGGTTTCCTTCATCATCCATAGTGCTTGTGCTTGGGGGAGCATCATGGGACAGTGCCAAAAGCAGCCAATCCAATCTTAAAGATTCTGGCTGTAGAAGGGACTCAAGGAAGGATGGCCTAAAAGAAAGTTGGGGAGAAAAATCACCAATCTTCATGCTGAGAAAGGAAACATAAAATGTGGACATGTAAAGAAAATGTTATCAGGGGATCAAAGTAGTAGATGAAATAACTTGAAAACCCTCTGCTATAAAATGTCTAGAAATGCTGGTGAAAGTCTAATAGCCTATTAAATGAAGAGCTGAGCTCGAGATAATAAGGAAAATGCCAAAAGGCCTAAAACAAAAGAGAAATAAAAAGCCAATAGGGCAAATGTAAATTAATGAGAAGAAGAAAGGGTAGGGTGGGGGGAGGTGTTGAAACCAAGAGCCGTGTGGAAATAGGAAATGAAACCTCAGTATAAAAAAAGAGATGAAGATCTGGGACTAAGAGCCACAAAAAGATGAGACCCCACAAAAAGCTGAGATATTATCAACAAAGAGGTGGCAGAGACAACAAGGAAGTTTATCTGCCTTAGCGGAGGATGTGAAGCAGGGGTTTAATTTTACAATGATCATCACTGAGAATCCCTGAGACAGAGTGAAGAGAGGTGTGCTATGTGCACATTTATGGTGTGTGTTGTGGACTGTGAACAAATGGTACATGACTGCCAAAATCACCCTCTCCATAACAGGTGCCTCAGTTGGGTGGCAGATGGCAGTAAGAACATTACAATGGCTTATACCAAGGGAAACAATGCCCTATCAAATGACAGAAGAGTCGGCAAATATTCTCGCTTCTCACCGTTGATCTTCGGGCCTTGATTTCACCAGACTGTCCAAATAGGCTAAAAACTGAGCAGGATGATGATGACAAAGTTGCATGACATCCGAAGGCAAAATAGATGGGTAAAACCTGATTAAGGACCGAAGAGCAGATTCTCCAAACTTTTCATACAATCTGCATTTAAAAACAAAACCAGTTAGTTTCCAACGTCAGTGAGATGATGTAACTTGGTTACATTATCTAAGCATTTATTAGAAATACAAATGACAATCAGGATGCCCAGCTGGCTCAGTCGTTTAAGCTTCCAACTTTGGATCAGGTCACGATCTCACAGTTCGTGAGTTCCAGCCCTGAGTTGAGCTCTGTGCTGACAGCAAGGAGCCTGGAGCCTGCTTTAAATTGTGTCTCCCTGGGGCGCCTGGGTGGCTCAGTCGGTTAAAAGCATCTGACTTTGGCTCAGGTCACGATCTCACGGTTCGTGGGTTCGAGCCCAGCATCGGGCTTTGTGCTGACAGCTAGCTCAGAGCCTGGAGCCTGCTTCAGATTCTGTGTCTTCCTCTTTCTCTGCTCCTCCCCTGCTCACACTGACTGTCTGTCAGAAATAAATAAAACAGGGGCGCCTGGGTGGCGTAGTCGGTTAAGCGTCCGACTTTCGCTTGGGTCATGATCTCGCGGTTCGTGGGTTCGAGCCCCGCGTCGGGCTCTGTGCTGACTGCCAGCTCAGAGCCTGGAGCCTGTTTCAGTCTGTGACTGCCCCCCTCTCTCTGACCCTCCCCTGCTCACGCTGTCTCTCTCTCTCCTAGAAATAAATAAAAAATATTTAAAAAAAAAAAAAAAAGGGGCACCTGGGTGGCTTAGTCGGTTAAGCGTCCGACTTTCCGACTTTCGCTTAGGTCATGATCTCGCGGTTTGTGGGTTCGAGCCCCGCATCGGGCTCTGTGCTGACTGCCAGCTCGGAGCCTGGAGCCTGTTTCAGTCTGTGACTCCCTCTCTCTCTGACCCTCCCCTGCTCACGCTGTCTCTCTCTCCTAGAAATAAATAAACTATTTAAAAAAAAAAAAAAAAAGAAATAAAACATTAAAAAAAATAATAAATGTGTCTCCCCCTCTCTCTGCCCTTCCCCAGCTTGCACTCTGTCTTTCAACAAACCTTGAAAAAAAGTTTTTTTAAGAAAAAAAAAATGACAAGAAGCTGCCCACCATACAGCTGAGTAAAACTTGAGAGATTAAGATGAAAAGAAAACCAAAACCAAAACACCATGCTTTAGTTCATATAAAAGGCACAGAAGACAACTTACCGGGCGGCACAAGCAATCAACAAAGGACTGTCAAAGGGGACTGAGTCATTCACTAACTTTAAGCTTGTTGGTAGGTCTCCTTCTTCCATCTCCATATATGCAGGACTGGAACTTGCCATTTCTGAAAGAGAAAGCACATCTTTTCCCTTTCATCTCATAGCTGTAAATACTCAGTTCATGAACACATTCAGTCAACAATCATTAGTCATGGATCTACTGGATGCACGGCACAATAGTTAAGCACTAGAGGACAGATAAAAAAGGAAAGGATGCAATATCTACTTTTAAGGACCTTCAAATTAAATTGGAACCCTGGATTACCATATGGAAGCGAGTCTCCCCACTGACTTTGGAACCTGTCCTGGATATTATATGAACAAGAAATAAACTTCTACTATATCAGAGTTATTGTAATATATTTATCACAGCAGTTTAGCCTACTCAATTATTAAACTCTGTGCCTCCGTCTCTTCACCCATTAAATGGAATAACACCCTCCACTCTGAAAATAATGCTAAGAAATGAAATGAAGCCTCCTTACTGTGTTTAGCATAATGTGACAGACGGTAAGTACTCAAAAAATGGCATATATTATCTCTCCATTAGTAAGTTACATAAATTATTTTCTTGTTTTTATATGACTGCATTTGTATAACATTTCATTTGAATCCCACTTCTCCAACTTTGCTATATGTTTTCTGAGTATGACTGTAAGAGAAATAAAATGAACTTCTTACAATGCAGTTGTAAACTAAACTAATGTTTCAAGAACTATCAAAAAATTAAATTGAGTGGGGAACAGAATGGAGGTTGACCAGAATAGAAGTAATTCTGTACTGAAATCTTTTTTTTTCAATGCAAAAATGCTAAGATTGTTACTGTCCCCTACAATGATTTCTATTTGATAAGGCAATCTGATTATTACCTTTCAATCCTTCAATAAAAGTATCCCAAACACAAGGACTGTTAGCGTAACTAAGCTTGATACTCTCCTTTGCTCTTTTCAAGTCCAGGACAAAAAAGTACTTCTTTATGAACTGACAAGCCAGAACCTCAGGAGAGTACTGCTGCAGAGCGTGGTCCACATGTCCACTTGCGTTTTTGGTCTCAGAATTCAACACATTCAATTCCAAGCACAGGGTTGTTAATTCAGCCAGATCCTTCTGAAGACCGTTGGCTATGCTGCATGGAGAACACACTTGGAAAAGGTCATCCAAGGGCTCCTTCAGACTACTTGCAGATTCACATACTGTTTGATCAACAGTTTCTTCGTTGCCTAAAGAGTCGCTTTTTTCTTTTTCATTATCTTCATCTAATACTCCCTTTTTTGACTCATCAAACAATAGCACATCCTGGTTTGATGCCACGGATGAGTTACCAGTATCTGAAATGTCTGAAAAGTTCTTCATGGCAAATGTTTTTTCTAACTGTGAAAGCCACTCCTGTAAAACCGTTCTCAGAGACGTGGGTTCAAACAAAACCAGTGGGTCCTGAAGCTTGGTCCTACACAATACAGACAAGTATGAAATTTATGTTCCATGTGTTTTTTTTAAAAACAAATTATTTCACGCTAAGCAAACCTACTGGTTAAACATACTTATCTGGAATAAATGTTACTTTTCAACTCTTTTAACAATTATCTCAGCAAGATAACAATACAGAGAGTAACTCTTACTAATACTAATTGTTGAATTTCAATTACAAATGAGACCCTTGTCCATACAGTCTCGAGACCACTCCTCATGACCTTGAAGTCATTCCCATTCACTATAAAACTCTCTTGTGCAGGGCGCCTGGGAGGCTCAGTCAGTTAAGCATCCGACTTCAGTTCAGGTCATGATCTCACAGTTTGTGGGTTTATGCCCCATGCCAGGCTTTGTGCTGACAGCTCAGAGCCTGCAGCCTGCTTCGGATTCTGTCTTCCTCTCTCTCTGCCCTTCCCTGCTCATGTTCTTTCTCTTTCTCTCAAAAATAAACATAAAAAAAAAAAAAAACTTTCCTTCATAAATACTCACATTGCCTCTGCTGTTGCTACTTTGAGGTCCTGGAACTTGTCCTCTTCTGGAGGTTGACTAATTACTTCTTTTTTCCCCCTAGAGAAGTGTGAAAAGATTAAGAGGGGATTAGGGCTTCCTTAGACAAATGTTTCTAAGTGCTAAGTGACACGTACTGTACTGAACGTTATATGACACAAACAGATGAGTATAAAAAATGGTCCACAGCTTTAAGACGAATAAGCTCAAGTGAGAATGAAAGGCATGCAAACAACACATTGTGCTCTCAAAGCATGGAAAAAGTAATAATTTTTCTGATAAGGCAATCAAGGGAAGCGTTCCCAAGAAGATACTATGTGTATTAGGAAGAAAGGGGATGGGCACCTGGGTGGTTAAGTGGGTTAAGTATCCTACTCTGGATTTCAGCTAAGGTCATGGTCTAATGGTTCATGAGTTGAAGCCCCAAGTCAGGCTCTGTACTGCACAGGCTCTGCTTGGGATTCTCTCTTTCCCTCTCTTTGCCCCGCCTCTACTCCTGCACACGTGCACGTGCGCACTCTCTCTCTCTAAATAAATAAATAAATAAACTTAAAAATAAAAAAAATGGGGGGAAAATAGCACAGGTCAAAGAACCAGTAGGAAGAAAGGCAGTAAAGTGTACCCACCCAGTGCTCTGACGGGACCAGAATAGAAAGCACTCAGAAGCATGCAGCTGAGAATGAGGCTGGAAAGGTAGGCTAAGGTCAGAGTGAGGATTGCCTTACATACCCCAACAATACCTGTACTTTTCTCCCTATAAATATAAGTATTCACGAAATTATTCTTTATCATCTGACTGTCCACCTACAATTGGGCCTGTGGATCTCTCAATTCCTGAGGGAGTACTAGGCTTGTGTGTTTCTAATGCTCAGATCCTATGAACTGTGAGTTAAGGCAGAGACCAGATGGACAAAACATTTCACACTGTGCCAGACCAAGGGCTCTGTAACAACTCCGCTCCATAAGGACTATGCCACCAGCATATCATGCTGACATGACAAGACATCAATGCCAATACTCTCATCTTACAGGTCAGAGAGCATTAGTGACTTACCCAAAGCAACATGCTAGTCAGAAGCACAGCAAGGACAAGGTCAAGATCTTTGGTAATCCTACTCTTAATCTAATAGCCTTCTCTGACATCCCAGAAGTTTGAAGAGATTTGGAGGGGAGGGAGGCTGCGCAGAGGACAGATGAAAGGGGTGCTAAACTAAAACTCTTTCTCAACAGACTTGCTATGGGTAGGTTTCCAACACTTACTTTATGGTGTTCACATTTTTTATAAGCTACACAATCTACAATGAACAGGGTCATATGGATGCCTTCTCTAATTGTGTGTAGTCTACGGCTTTCTTCAAAATGACAGCTGAGTCTTCTACAATTTACCCAGATTTATATGCAAGAGCTTACTCAGTGTCTTCTTCCTTTGGCCAGGTGACTGGACTCACATCCTCTTCACATAACTGCTCATCGCCCCTGGGTTCTGGTCTTATTTTCAGGTCAGGGCCTGTATGAAGGGTGCCAATCTTCTCAGTAGTTTTACGTACAAAGCTAGAAACACTGGAAGTCAAATACCAAAAGACTAATATGAAAAAAGTCTCATTACTCCCAAGAACAAAAACCTCAGTGCCTGAGTTCTCTATGTTCCTGTTAGTCCTAGAAAAGCAACTTGGACTTCATAAAAAGAAGGACTGTATTTATAGCAACTTCCCCAATCAACTACATAGTTCATATAAGGTCCACATAAAATACACAATACAATAAAAATTCACTTCAATTACTAAATTGCCTTGATTCAGTGCTAAAAAAGTCTTTAGGGGCGCCTGGGTGGCTCAGTCGGTTGAGCATCCGACTTCGGCTCAGGTCATAATCTCATGGTTAGTGAGTTCGAGCCCCGCATTAGACTCTGTGCTGACAGCCAGCTTAGAGCCTGGAGCCTGTTTCGGATTCTGTCTCTCTCTCACTCTCTCTCGCTCTCTCTGACCCTCCCCTGCTCATGCTGTCTCTCTCTCTCTCTCTCTCTCTCTCTCACTCTCAGAAATAAATAAAACATTAAAAAGAAAGAAAGAAAAAAATCTTTAACTCCAGCTACGTCTGCAATGTTTCTATAACTTAGGAAAAGGAGGCCATGTAACCACCTGCCCATACTGGCCAGCAAGTTAATAAGAGTTTTTTCACAAAACTCAGTAGCTAACTAGTCAAAATATATCCTCCTTTACAAGCAAAACTGTATCTGCTAATTAAATCATTATACTGTATAATGTATAAGTGTGTGTGTGTGTGTATAACATAACACCATACATTAACCATACTAGAATTTAAATACTTTTCTTAAAAAACAGTATCTAGCAAGACTCCGATAAGTGGTTAAGTAGCTGTACAAAGTCTTTGCTCTCAAACTGGAATGCCAATTCTAGGCCCATGGAGTAGTTAGAAAAACTTCCGAAGCGTCTCCAATTCTGAATGCAAATTGAGAAAGGATAAAAAAAATAACTAATGATATATGAAACTGTTCCTATCAGGGATGAGGAAAAAACAGATTTTTCAAACTTTTGCTCTGTCTGGGATGGAAGACACATTTGTAACAACCCAAATACCCAACTACTCAAAGAGGGAAACTAAACTGCCCAAGACGGAAATAACGGGTTATATGAGAAATAACCCAGAGACTTTTGTTTTATCTCATTCAAGTTGTCTTTCCATCCTCAGCAGTACAGAAGTACCTAATGTGACAACTGAAGTGAAACCAGAAATGGCATTATGTGATGAGACTAATGAGTTTACCTTTCCTTGACAGCCTGAAGAGACACAAGAGGAGATGGAGAACGAAATGGTAATGGAATGCTGAAGGGGAGAAAAGTTTCATTCTTATCTGTCTCAGGCGTCACAGGAGCATGAGAAACACTGTCTGATGAATGGAATCAGGGGAAAAAGAAACAAAATTTAATCACATCGGAGTTTTTTTTTTTAATTAAAAAAAAAATTCTGAAATGAATAAACCAAGGAAATGAAGGATTCAATACCAAAATCACAACTGAGCCAGATACAAATGAGCAGAACACAGGTTTACAGGATGCACGGGATGGTCCACATATAAAACACTGAGGCAGGTACCTTATCTTCCTACTAACCCTGAAGCCCCATAAGTCAAAAAGGAAGTTTAGAGTCTTTATTAAGCTCTTCTCAACAGTTCAGTCACAGGAATACTCGACATCGAAAAGTGAAGGCAAATGGCCTCCAAAACTGTAGTAATTTTTCATTCCTGATGGAAAATAATTTGGTTAGTCAAGATAAAACTGTTCTGGTCCTTTGATTAATGACTTCCATTCTTAACTTCTTCAGGATTTTGATGCGTGATTAAAATTACAGACTGTATTGTTAACCTAAACAGGAGGCGGGGAACCACAACTAAACCTAAACCTATTCTTCTACGGCAAACAGATTAACATGTTTGAGTGGAAAGTCTATCAACATAATAAAAATCATTAATGTCATGTAGAAAACTCGCACAAGTTAATCCTGGCAGGGAGAAGTCACAGAATATAACTGCTTCATATCAGGAACCAACAGAACACACCATTATCACCTTCATTTCCATGTGAGCTCCAGCACTGATCTGGTTGGTCCTCTTCTTGACGTGAGGTGAATTCTTTGAGTCTCTCATCTTCTGAGAGGGTTTGGCTGTGAAGGGAACAAGAGTCTTCATCTGACTGACTGCTTCTCCTACTACTGATGATACGATAAATACCGGAGTCCAAGATGCTGAAACTTTCCTAAAAATAAAAACAACCCCATAAAAACTAAAGTAAAACTTTCCTTTATAACACAAAAAATGGTTTTTAAAGAGAAAAAACAACACGAGTAAGTGTCAAGTCAATAACAACAATTATGGCTTGATAGAACACACCGGTGAGCAAGGTTTAGGCTTCTGGCAGCTGGACCACCCTCCCATACCGATGACATCACACTAGCATCTTTCTCTAGCTTGCCTCCATGAATCTTAGCTGTGAGAAGGGGGATTCAAGAAGACAAACCTGACCTGGGCTGCACTATGACTTAAATTAGCATGAAGCATCTGGAATCACACATTAGGAGCAACTTAACTTGTGCGGAGGCTATCTGAGGTACTAAACAGTAAAATAAACGACGACGAAACAAAATATGGCTTCATGACATACCTAACTGGAGGCTTCATAGGGCTGCCCAACAGCTGAAAGAAAGCCCCCTCTTGACAACTCTCCCCTCTCTCCAAATCTACCACATGGAAAGAAGATCAGCTTTGGGATCTTAAGAGACACAGGAGTACAACCTAAGGAAGAAAAGCCTTACTGTACAGATAAACCCTTTGAAAAGTAAAAATACCTACATGTGACGAAATAGAACTTCTTCTACTGCTGCAAGCTGAATCCAAAGGTTCAAATTTTAAGATCAATTCTTCCAGTTGAGAAATCAGATCACTATAGGTTGTGAGGTCCAACTGAGATTTCAAATGCTCCAATTTATCCACAGTCAAAGATTTTCTTCCCTAATGAAAGAAAGGGTAAGTAGAAACCAAACAGAATAGCTTACTATTTATAATGAAATCTAAATTCAGTGGCCAACATACTGAAAAAGGTCTAACAGAACATAAAACCTCAAAAGTGCTTTAAAAAGGTTTAACAAGGTAGTAAAATTATCTTAGGAATTAAGAATTAAGAGCTATTATACACACAATCATTCCCCCTTAAACCAAGGTCTGAAATTCAAGTAAGTTTATGAGAAAATTCAATTTTTTTAAATGAGAAGCATTCCCTTTTTCTTACCCCCCCACCCACCCCTAGATTTATGTGCTAAGCTTTCGGTAAGGATTCATGGCTGCTTTATTTGCTTATAAAGATAAGCAACTTTATAATACGATCCTGCAGGCTAGGGTGATTTTAACAACCCAGATGACTATGTAAGCTCTCTGACTCACTCTGCTGGTAATGATAGAATTCTGGAAAAGACAGCAGGTGCAAGCAGCCAAGTTCCACAGGCCTCTCCTCAGCAGGCGCTCCACACAGCGCTCCACAGATAACAGAGAAAGATGTGAGACTCTCCCATTTAGGTGCAAACAGAACAGCTCATTCTTGCAGACGGCCACATCCTGAATATCTACAAAAACCACAGAGGTGAACACACAGAAGTTTAACCAAATATTCCTTTTCCATTTTGGCAAGGGCTGAAATTATTCTAAGAAATTCATTTTTTACAATCAGTTTGGCTTGATTGTATTTCATCTCAATTATACTTGCATTTCAATGAAGAAACCATATTTTAGACACTTCTAAAAAAATAAGAGACAGAGAAATGCATCTCTTTAAAATTCTACTGTTCTAAACAAAACAAATGAGCAAAGGAAAGACACAGAAACAAAGAAGCAGACTCTTAACTACAGAAAACACACTAATGGGTACCAGAGGGGAGGACGGCGAGGGAAGGGTGAAATAGGTGACAGGGATTAAAGAGTGTACTTGTGATGAGCACTGGGGTGATGTATGGAATTGCTGCATCACTATACTGTACACCTGAGACTAATATTAAACTGTATGTTAATTATACTGGAATTTTTAAAACTAATAATAAATAAAAATAAAACACTATTTTCTATGAAAAGGAATTGGAACTTTAAGAGAACGTTACTTTAAAAAAATTTTTTTGAATGTTTATTTTATTTCTGAGAGAGAGAGAGAGAGACAGTGTGAACAGGGGAGGGTCAGAGAGAGAGGGAGATACAGAATCTGAAACAGGCTCCAGGCTCTGAGCTAGTTGTCAGCACAGAGCCCAACGCGGGGCTTGAACCCATGAACTGTGAAATCATGACCTGAGCCAAAGTTGGACACTTACCCAACTGAGTCACCCAGGTGCCCCAAGAGAACATTACTTTTAAAGAGTAGAGGCCAGACTACAACATTTCTGAGAGTTACAATCTGGTGTCAATGAATGGATTTTTAACGCAGCATGTAAAGAACAAACAATTCATGAAAAAAATACCTGTCTTGGCAGAACATCACATAAAGGACTTAAAAAACTAGTTCTTGATATTACTTATAGGTGGGATCTAAAAAAAAGCCAAACAAGTAGAAGCAGAGTAGAATGGCGGTAACCAGGGGCTGGACGCGGAAGGGAGGTTGGTCAAGGGGTACAAGTTGCAGTTAGAAGACAAATTCTAGAGATCTAACACGCACAGGGCATATAATCACAATAATGTATCATATACTGCAAATCTTCTAAGAGACTAAGATGTTAAGTGTTCTCATCACAAAAGGTTAATAGTCACACTGTAACATATAGCTGACCCTTGAACAACATGGGTTTGAACTGCACAGGTCCAATGATAGGTGAATTTTTCTATAAATATAGTACAGTAAATGTACTTTCTTTCTTATGATTTTAACATTTTTTCTTCTCTAGCTCACTTTATTTTAAAAATACAGCAAACAATACATATAACATACAAAGTACATAAACTATGTTATCAGTAAGGCTTCAGATGAATAGCAGGCTATTAGTAGTTAAGTCTGGGGGGAGTCAAAAGCTGTCTGCAGATTTTCACTGTGTAGGGGTCTGTGCCCTTCACTCCCAGGTTGTTCAAGGGTTAACTGTGTAACTGTATCAAATCAATACTTTGTAAGCCTTAAACTTACACAGTGTATATGTCAATTAAAAAAAACCTCATTTTCAAGGGACAAGCTTAGCAAACTTAATCCACAAGAAATCAATATTGATCAGATCAGATTGGTAAATAACGATTCCTCTTTTTTATATTTCTACAAAATAGAAAATTACCCAAAAAACTAATATACACTCTCTGAGTAGCAATGCCAATACTTCTAGATTTCTTCCATGTCTGGTTTAAACTAAAAAAAAAATACAGAGATTGATTTTCTCTGCCTCAGCCACATAAAATGCTTTTCCTCTCATAAGGACTTCTTGCACCTCAAGCCATTAAGACACAAAATGGAAGTTAAAGCAAGACTTCTAATAGGCATCAAAATTCAGGGTAAATAGAAGCAAAAGATAAACCCATTCAATCCTTAACGGGGATTACTAATATTAAAGAATAAATGAAAACTGTATTTAAAACTACCCATGAGAAACTAAATAACTGACCGCAAATTCACAAGCGGATGCTTGGATTATACTTTACAGTGAGAAACATCTATGATGTTAATCTTTATGAGAAATGTCACCTCATTCTATTTTTCTACTTTTCACACCGCAAATGAATTCTCCTACAGTAACTAAATTCTTCATAAGCATGAGATTAAAAATTACATAAGGAAGAAAAACACAATTACCTTTGACTTCACTCCAAAGAAGAACTTGTACATTCTGAGGAATGAAAATATAAATTCCTCTTTCTGTCCATGTCAGCACACAGTGTTCACTGCAAAAGAAAAGGGAAGAAGTTAAGAGAATTCTAGTTTGCTTGAATACAGAAGTTTATGATACAAGTCCCTGAATTCAGACCCTCAAATCAGCTATAAAAGTAAATTAAGACTCTACCAAAAAACCCACAACAGCGATCCAGTTAATCAAGTCCTGATATCCCTTTTATGTCTATAGCAAGAGCTCCCTAAAAAATATGACGGCAAATTGGGAAAAATTTAGATACATATACCAAAAATCTAGAAAAAGAAAAGGCTGGTATCTTACCTAATGTTTGTTAAAGCAGTCAAATATCTCATAACTGAATGAAAAGGGCATATTTAAAACAGATGACATTCCTCACTGCAAATCACTGCTCTAATGAGATACTTCTGGGGATGGATTATTTTGATGTTTGTAGCTGTGAGCAGGCAATAAAAGGTTGAAAACTCCTGGTCCACCATCTGCCAGAAGCTTTATCAAAGGCTCTACCTGTTATCTAACCTCACCAAGACAGAAGTGTTTTTCCCTTGTTTATCAAAAACAAACATACATCTGAAACTTAATATGCCCAAGGACAGTCTGCCTCCAAAACCTGGACTTTTCTCTCTAAACCTCACAGATTCTTTTTCCCTTCATTTATCCTCAGTGGCCCACCCACCAACTGTTATTATCTAGAACCCTGATTATTCCACATAACTGTCTTATTAAAGAGTCAGATTTCCTAAATGCCAAAACAAATAACACACCATTCCTTATCCTTTCTTCTTGATCCTCATGCAGGGGCCAAACCCTACTGACTGTTCCTTCCTGAATCTCACCTCCCTGGACCCCGGGACGCTGTACTTTGTTGGTCCACCTCCTTCCCCAGGCCTCTGCTACTCTCCATCTCTCTCATTCCTTTCACGCTCCTTTGCTTATGTATCTCATCTACCCTCTCAAGGCTGCTACTATTTCTCATATACCACTGGTAATCTCTACTTCTTCCCCTTGGTCAGGAGAGCCCAGCTTGTGATACTCTCACTCCGGCCATTTCCCAAGGATTGCAGAAGTGCTACATGCCTCTGGAATCCACCAAGAGCCCAGGGCAACCGCTTTTCCTCCTGCACCCATCCCATTTCTTGTCAACCCTGTTCACGTGACACTCACTCATGTACTGCACTGTTAGAACCCTTCTTCATTATTGTTCAACTTTTTGTAGAAATACCACATCTCTCCAACAAATTATAATCTTAAAAACAGGAACCTTTTTTTCTTTATACCCCCAAGAGTACTAAAAATGGTACTATGTGGCTATGAAACTAGGAGTGATATTTAACAGGAACTGGATCCTCACACAAATATTAAACATCTTGCCAATAGAAGACCAGATCACTGTCCCTATGGGAAAATAATCTTTGACACAAAGATGGAAGAAATGGTCAGAATGCTAATACAGAGGAAGAAAAACTGGAGGGCTACCTTCAGGAGCCAGAGGAGAAAAAAACAGGAGGCCAGAGGATCCCTGAGTAGAGCTAGAAGACCATGATTTTGACACTAAACGTGATACTCAGCTTGGAAAGATTCCTTAGGATATCTTAGAAGGGGGTTCAGGTAAAAGCTGATACTTTGTAATTTGTAATACTCTGTAATCCTTCATCCCCTTGTCCTTTCATTGATAACAAATGGCCTGGGACACAGCCTAAGAGCATTGCTTAAAAAGTCAAGGAAGGAAGGAACGAAAAGTGATACATTTACCCAAAAGAAAACAAAGCATATAAATTTGCTTCCCCTTGGGATTTGTGGGTATAACAGTAAAGGTTACCATAGGACACAGTGTATAGGTGAGGAAGAAAGTAAATAAACAGGAACAAAAAGTTCTCCTACTCATGATTAAAACAAAATCTTCATTGAACTCTTTAATTGAGCTACTACTTGACAGCTTCCTATGTGCCTAACACTGTGCGCACAGCAAAGGAGTTGACAACGTGGTGCTGGGATGGATAGTCAAAGTACAGTGAAACAGGGGTGGTGACAGAGGAATGAACAAGGGTGACAAGAGTATCTAAGCTAAGCCTGCTGGAACAGTCTGCATAGGCTTCAAGCTGGCATTAATTATTGCTTAAGCTGAAGAGTAGGCAGAGTCAGATCACCAAGGGCTTGGTTTGCTATGGCAGAAACTGTAACAGGAGCTTTAAATAGTTCAGCTCGAAAGAGTAACTCTACCAGGAGAACCAAGCAGACCGTAGTCTTGCCATTAGAAAATGTACCGTTGGGTAAAGGACTTCCTCGCATGTCACATCCCAGTCAGAAGTGTCTACCATGTGCCAGATGCTATGCCAAGCACTGAGAATAATAGAGTGAACAAAACAGAAACAAAGCCCTTATACAACTTACTAAGAGTACGACAAATATAAGTGCTGTATGAATATGTAATTAGAAATCATAATAAGTGCCATAAAGGAAGAGTTTTTAATATGCTTTACCTAATTTCTGGGGAGAATTATGAATTTATTAAAGTGATTTATGATTTATAATTTAATTTTAAATATGTCAGTGTAGGCAGTGTGACATATACATATATTAGTTAGGGGTAATTAGTTAACATTTCAGAAGGTTTTTAAAAAATCACATTCTAAGAGTGCTTAGTTAGCCTTGGAAAGAACCCAATCAGGAGTCCCTTAACAGACCATCCTAAAACAATTTCTAAATAACATTCTCTAAATCTGCACTAGAGATCTTACGCGTTAGTCTAAGGGATACTGGAATATCCATTAGTGAAATGACCTCAAGATACACAGACTGGCTGGAAATCAGGCACTGGCACCCCCATGCTTGAAGAACAAGGTGTAAGAACTGGCAAACCCAGCCTTGAGTGACACTCTGTGTTGCCACTGAACAGAGGACTTTTGTACCTAATGTAACTGGAAAGCTAGCCGAACCCTGATGTTATAAATACAGCTGAATGTGCAGATCTTTCATGCAAGATACTTGTCAGAGCACCTAAAAGACAGAAGCTGAAAGTTCACCAAGCTTACAAGAACAAGCTCTACAATTATTTTTGTGCCTACTTGCTAAGAAACATGTTTCTTTGTGGGTGACTCCAGTCTGAGACTTGCTTTCATTTTAACCTCCCACCAGGTAGGGGAGGTTATGAAAAGAAAGAGTACTGACAGTTCTTAGCTCTAATTGTCAGAGTTTCCCAACAATTATAGACTGTCCAATTGGTTTAGGTCAATATGAAACAAAAAAAAAGAAGCATAGTTCAACAGTCTTTTTATTCCTCTTAGGATACTTCATGTAACACAGTCATCTCCTAATTTTACAAAAATATTTTAGTACAAAAACAACCTTTAAAAAACCACCTGTGAACAAGAAACAAAGAGATCAAGTGGTTTTTTTGTTTTGTTTTTTTTTTAAAATCAAAAGGAGAAACTTACCTAAGATGCAAAAGTTTGGGGAAAGACAAAGACTGGGAAGATCCAACTGTATGATCATACTGAGGTTCTGATCTAGGAAATAAACAGTCTGTTAATGAATTAACCACAACATAAAAGTACACTGTTCCCTACATAAGGAAATGGGTTGCCACATCTAACTCATCTACTTTTATTCAATCTATTTTAATTGTATCAAAGATAACTGGTTAAAGGCTTTTGGGTTTCTCTAATTCCTCAGGAAAAATTCAACTTCACTTTTAGAAGCCATAATAAAATCTTTAATGCATCTAGAGTATCCGAGATTTCAACCCGACTCCTGCATGCAAATAATCCCTCTATCAGCCATACAAGTCATTACCTTAGAGTAATCACGGGGAGAGGTGGTGACGAGAGGAGTTTCTTAAACTGATGGGTACTTATAACTTCCCCATCAAAGTTCACTTCCCACATCCTGGAGCCAGGGCGAGCACAATATATTAGGGGTTGCTGGCCTGCAGAACATCTTCCAGGAAAGAAACAAGCTCCATATTCTCCATCTCTTTCCTTGCTTCCGATTTTCCAAAATTTTTCTCTAATCCCCCAAAAAGAAAAGAAAGCACATTTACTTATAAAAAGTCAAAAAACAATGGCACTACAAATCAGCATGGCCGTAATAACCGCACCCACAGTGTCCTCTCTGTATTCTTATTAGCAATATATTGGAAAGAACGGCAGCATGGAAAGGTCAAAACAGGGTTCTGGCTCTGATTTGCCGTCAACTATTTCTGTAACAGGAAGCAAACCCCCTCACATTAGTGCTCAATTTATTATCCACAGAATGAGGGGCTCAGAATTAATATGAAGGCCCCTTTCAAATCTACAAAATGAGTGCTAGCAAATCATTTCACACATCCTTAAGTCCTATTGTAAAGTGGTTTAAGATCTATTCCAAATCACCATGTAAAAGGTTCTTTGGACACTCCATGGAAGCTACTAAGCTACCTCTCCAACCCTGTCTTCCAGCCATTCTCCTGCCACAAATACCCAGGAAACTCTTTGCTCTTTCTTTGAAATGCCAAGCCCTTCTGAAACTCTGCAACTTTGAACATTTTGTTTCCTTAGGATTATGTGAGCTAAATACACAAAAGTGCTTAGTACACTGCCTGGAAACATGGAAGGTGATAATCTCTTCCTAAAAACTGCTTCACATAAGTATTCTTCATGACTTCACTCTACCATTTTTCCTCTGAGAGACTTCCTTGATGCCCATAAGCTGAATTACACCCTTCCCATCACACTCAGCACCTTAAATATGGCAACTGTGTCTCTCTGAACAATAGACTGTGACTTTCCTTAGGACTAAGGCCATTTCTTTCTCTTCTTTAGTTAAATTCCCAGTGTATAGCACAGCGTCTGGCCCATAGAAAGCACTAACTACATTACCATGCTCCATCCACTCTAACTCTTCTATTAGAGAATGATCTAATATGCCCTCTAGTGTGAATTTACTAGGTAACCTTAGATAATTCAATATCCCTGTACTTACCTGTTTCAGGAGTAAAAAGTAACATCAGCTTTAGTACTATGAAGAACTGTTGAGAACTCTATGTACCATGAGAACATGGATATGAAAGTGCTTTGAGATGTAGACAGAGCAATCTAAGAAGTTACAGATTTTTTACTTGTACTCCTTACATTTGGGAAATAAAATATATCTCTTGTTTACTTTATACCTTTTATGGTGCTTAATACAATGCTAAGGGTCCAGAGGAGTGCAGTAAATGTTTGCTGAGTGAATAACAGGCAACACATTCTTACTTTATGCTCATTAACCTTGGTTTCTACATTTTCAGACAATATGTAACAGGCACAAGATGAAGTATTTCATGTGTTATCTTAATTCTTAAAACTACCACTACTATTCTGGATAGGGAAATGGACATTTAAGGAAGGTTTAAAAAGTGGCAGAACCAGAATTTGAAACCATATCGCCAGGTTCCATTATTCAGTGCTCTCTCCACTATACCATAGTTCTTTGTTTCTATTTCTTCTATTCCTTCCCAGGATCCACCTTGCTCGTCAACAATATTGACAGTTGTGACAGCAGTGAGTGGTTGGCAGGGAAGCAAATTTATATCTATCACTTTCCTTAGTTACTAGGAGGTCCCACTTTAAAAACAAAAATGCTGTTTGTTGGGAGGGAATATAGGCTGAAACAAAATTAAACATAAATCAATTTTTTAAATTATTACACTATCCATGGCCCCCCTCCCAACTGAATTCTAGCTAACAGGAAGTGGGCATTTTCTAGAACATGTTATTTTAGCAGCAGGATCTATGTTCTTCTCATAACCAATTCTAGCTATATCCCTATGAAACAGGGAAATGAGGATCAGCAACTCTACTACATAGAGGGAAAAATAAACCTCTACTTACTTAGGACTTTGTTTTAAAAAGTCTATCATATATCTTTCTAAATGGGGTCACTTGGTAAACTTGACAACCCAAGATGAAGAATACCTATCAATTCGGTGAAGCAAACAAATACCTTCCCAGAAACTCAAGTGTGGAGTTAAGGGCCCAGGGTCCAATCGCAAAGGATATAAGAGGTAACTCTGAGGTTAAGAGCAAGGGCACAGAATCAAGACAGAAGGCTGTGGTCTTGCCTGCCTCTTCCCAGCTATGTGATGTCAGGCAAGCTCTATCTGGGCTTTCTGATCTCCAAGAATGAAAGGGTGGCACTAGGTGATCTCCAGTTCTCCAAATGTAAACTTTATCACTGACCTGTATAGTCTGAAACAAGTCAGAACCAAATACATCCTCCTTCCCATGAATTTCATGGGAACTGACCACTACCTCTTTGATATGCAGCTAGATTCTCTAATATCAGACACCTGCCACCTGCTCTAACTGGCCTCCTTCCTCCACATGCTTTTCCCATCCAAAAAAATGAATACACTTACACCTTCTTCCCAACCTTCCTTCTTCCATCCCTGGCAGTAAGCAAACATTCTTTCAAACCTTTTGTAAGAAACAGTCTCCTGCTTTCTAGAATAGTAGCCTTCTGAGATACATGAAGTCCTGGAAATACATAAAGACTTTCCAAGCCTAGACAGTTCTAATGAAATCAAGTTTTAAACTCTGATATTCTTTATGCACACTTTCTTAAAATGATCTGAAAACTCACCTAATTAATGTGACATTTAAGGCTGTCACTCTTACTGCAGTGCCAATTTACCAACTCAATCTTCCACAACTCCCCTACGTATCCCAGACTGGCAGGTTTTAAAATATGCCTAATTCTTTCTCACTTTTCCCCAAGAGGCTATTCCTTACTGTGAGAATGTCCCTTCCTTCTCATTTTACTCCAATTTTAGCCTACCAAAAATCATCATCAAAATTACTGAAGCTGGCTGGGGCTTCAATATACAATTCTCTCTTTCATATATGCTCAAAATTCTCCTTAATAAATCGTTTTAAAGAGTGGCTGGTCCTAAAGAATATGGTAGTGGGGAAAAAAGAACCACCAGTGAAAATGTCCCTGCAGTGAGGATGGCTGAAGAACTTCAGGACAGTGATACATAATACTCATTTCAAGATGTTTACTATTCTGTTCGGGTGTTTCCCAGCTACCTCTAATACACGTCTTTGCCATTCACTGAACCTTTGACTCTACCCTGGGGATTCCAATAAAATAGATATTCACAAAGTTCTTATTGATTTTTCACTCAATTTTACCCATTGGTAAAATTCTATTAAACACACAACAAATCTAAACAATAAATTCAATCAAGGGAGACTTCATGATTTCCCATAATTGAAACAGACCTTTGTTTGGCCTTCCCTCATGCCTCTCTGACCACACTTCATGGAGAGAACTGAACATCTGTCTTCGTCGCCCACTGTCTCAGTCTCCTCTATGTCTTTCCTACTCTCTAACATCAGCTTGCACACAGCTTGTTCCTCATTAACATCTCTATTACTAAACTCAACAATTTGAACTAAATGACTTCTAAGTCTCTCAGAGTCTTACAATTCTGCATAACCTATGGCCCATGGTTGGTCAACATACCTCTCAGTGTCACACAAGAAGGATCGAGTAAGTGAAGATATAAGTAGTCTTCCATCCAAATAATCTAACTGGACAACACTGGAGTCAACTGTTGTTATTGTCTGAACAGGAAACATCACAAAGGCAGCAGCTGCCTAAAAAAGACATGACAAGAAAATATTTATCTTTATGTATACATATGATCTCTTCTTTACCTTTTAAGTGAAAATAGCTTTGGACAGCAAAATAATTTTTTTTTTTTAAAAAACAGGTTTCTTTTTCTTTTTCTTTTTTTTTTTAATATTTTTTATTTATTTCAGAGAGAGAGAGAGAGAGAGAGAGAGAGAGAAACAGCGTGAACAGGGGAGGGTCAGAGAGAGAGGGAGACACAGAATCGGAAGCAGTCTCCAGGCTCTGAGTTAGCTGTCAGCACAGAGCCTGACGCGGGGCTCGAACCCACAAACCATGTGATCATGACCTGAGCCGAAGTCAGACGTTTAACCGACTGAGCCACCCAGGCGCCCCGCAAAATAAAAATTTTTAATGGGCCAAAATTTAACTTGCCTGTTCGGATATCAAACCTTCACTCATTTAAAAGTTTTGGGAAAACATTAAAAATTAAAAAAAATAAAAAATAAAAAAAAATAAAAGTTTTGTGAAATAATTTGTTATATAACTGTAGAAAGCAACTCTTTTTTTTTTTTTTAATGTTTTTATTTATTTCTGAGAGAGAGACAGCATGAGCAGGGGAGGGTCAGAGAGAGAGGGAGATACAGAATCTAAAACAGGCTCCAGGCTCTGAGCTAGCTGTCAGCACAAAGACCGATGCTGGGCTCAAACCCACGAACTGTGAGATCATGACCCGAGCCGAAGTCGGATGCTTAACCGACTGAGCCACTCAGGTACCCCAAAAACAACTCTTAAGACTCTGTTTCTGGTTATCTAGTCTTAGAAGCTGGAATGACAAAGATGAAGCAAATTTTGGGACATGTGAGAGAATTTTGTCACACATAAGACAGTACTTCTCCTTTTGGAAAAAAAGACAAACTAGGGCTATACTACCTATAAGTTTCCAACTATATTTGAGATAAAAAAAAAATATGTTAGGAATCAAGCGGTTAACTTTGAAGTGTCACCATGACCAAACCAGAAGACTATTCTTATATGTTAATTAAAATAAAATAATTTAGCCACTGGTAGTTAGATTTCTTTCTTGCCAATATCCTACATGGAAATAACCCAAGTTCCCTACTATAACAGTCCTGAAGAGGAATGTATGAAGTTGGTCTGCTCTGCCTTTTTTTCTTTTATGTTAGAGAGAGAGAGAAAGAGAGAGAGAGAGAGGGAGGGAGAGAACATGAATGAGGAAGGGGCAGAGAGAAATAAAGAGAATCACAACCAGGATCTGTGTTGTCAGAACAAAGCCCAATGTGGGGCTCGATCTCATGAACCATAAGATCATGACCTGAGTGGAGATCAAGTCAGATGCTTAACCGACTGAGCCACCCAGGCATCCCTGCTCTGCTCTGCCTTAGTGAGAGACTGGAACATTCTGTCAGGGTAACCTGATACTCAACCCTTCTACTGCAACAACTGTGGCAGGAAGCCTGGGACCCATGCAGCTGAGCACAATCCAAGAGGTGCCTTTAAGATTCACTTCACAGTAAGTTACATCCATTCTAAAAAATATATACCTAGACTCATGAGTTTCTTCTAAACAGAGACCAAGAGAATAGGAGTCTGGGCAACTAGTACCATTTCTATGTTTGTCATTTTATTCACACAACTAATAAAGAGGCATCTTATCTTTATTAATAGCCTAGTAGAAATGCTTTATTTAAGTGAGCCATACAGGTGAGTTAGAGAGTACTATACAATGTGCAAATTATTGACTTTAGCTCGCAGAAGCCACCCTGCAACAGTATCAAGCCAAACCAGATTACATACAAACAGTTCTCCTCGAAATTAATAGTGTGGGCTCTAGATCAGTCCCCCAAGAAAGACTAAATAAAACCGTGTCCTCAACTGCAATTCTGTAAGACAATATCTTCTATCTCACCCACACACATAGGAATTGGAATGGTTCTCACCTTTACTTGTTTAGAAGTGTTGAGTTTGATGGCAGAAACTTTCCCCATATGATCACCTACAAAAACTCTAAGAATAGCTGTATCCCAACAGAGAGCTGTAACTTTTCGGCCTTTGTGTTCTGAAGACACATAAATTCGTTCTGGTTTCCCACGACGCTCCTGATTTAATTCCCAAATAACTACGAGACCTTGACTGCAAGAATTGAATCACAAAAGCAAGTTTTTGGTGAGGGTAAAAAAGGTAGTCTCTTTGTTTCCCAGTATCAATTATATTAAATACATATGCAAACTCCTGGTCTTCAAAAAGAAGTAGTAGAAAATCAAGGTACTAATTTCCTTTCCTTAGTCCACCAATCCAGTACAAGAGAACTTAAGATGTTCCAAATCATCTCTGTTACCTTTTGCTTTTAAGGCCACGGAAATGTTGTTGCATCACTGCTGACATTTTCCATAAACCATAGGGTGACCAACTGTCCGTCCTGGTTTGCTGGAAACTGCTGTACTTAGGACTCAGAACTTTGAGTGCTCCAACTGGGACAGTCATAGGCAAACCAGGATGGATGGCCACCCTAACAGACACACAACTAGGGTTTGTCAATTTAAAATGTATTTACAAAAGATCAGATAATTTTAAAGCAGTTTCTCACCTGGTAGCTACAGCAATATAATCATCATCATGTAAACAACAGGCGACCTGAAAAATTGCACCTTCCTAGAACACAAAAGGAAAAATATTAGGCTTCTCAAAAATGGTAATTTTTTACTTTTACATCTCAAGATTTACATTCCTCTTGTACTCCAAATGATTATTGATAACAGAGGAATTGGAATTTCTGAAAAATACTCCAAATGGTAGATGGCAGGACTATGCTTAAGCTTACCCTGTGTGAAAGAAAAAGCCTGTGCTTCCAGCCTTCCTTCTGAATGAGATTGAGTCCTCCTCCCGAACTTCCCAAAGCCAACCATTTCCGAGACACAGCTATGCTTGTGCACTGAAAACACGTAAACAGACAAGGGTGAGATGATCGTAGTCACATAACCAAATAAACTAAATAAACTAAACTACTAGACATAAACACTAAGGATCTATGTAGCAGGTTCCTCCCCCACCTCCCTTCCTGCCCAGCTGGACACCATGTAATGGCACTCAGCTTCTCATTCTAGCACAAGACACAGACAGAACATTTTGGTTTTAAATTTTTAATTGAATCTCAAAATGACTGAATAGGCTCAATTATATAAATGAGTAATTTTCCCTTGGCAAAATCCAGTTATTAAACCATTCATCTTTTGTGTAATTTGGCTGCATCATTCCAATGCTGACCACAAAGATGAAAGACCAAGTAAGTCCCCAGGGGAGAAAGCAACTGCTTTAACCGTTTACTCACTTGAATCATTTCTAGTCCACATAATTAGCACACAAATCACCCACAGCTTTTAGAATGGGGGATACTGGAGAGGACACAAATGCAGGTCACTATACTGTTACACTCTCAGCCTGCTGATCCCCTTCCTTATTCCACCAGAGAAAACAGTGGCCATGCTGTGCGCAACACCATGTGGCAAAATTTATTGCTTGGCTAATGAACAGGCCAACCCTCTTCAACTGTGATTTCCACCATAGAAGCTGGAAAATCTATTCATTTACCAAGTTTCTCCTGAAGTTATAGGGACTATCTGATTAAACCCCAGCTAATAAGTCTAAGCCTGCTGGGGTTTCTTAAGCAGGTTTACCTTACCAGGTAAAAGGCAGAGTCAGAGGAAAAGAAAGCCTTTTAGAAACAATCAATATATATAATAATAGTGTATACATATATATATATGTATATACGTATACATTACTCATACACATAGTGACATAATAATAGCACTGGACCAGAACACCCAAATAATTATAGGACCTGAATAATGGGACTGGAACACCTGACTTAGATCAATGGACAGATCATCCAAACAGAAACTCAACAAGAAAACAGTGGCTTTGAATGACACACTGGAACAGATGGATTTAATAGACATATTCAGAAAATTTTACCCTAAAACAGCAGACTGCAACATTCTTTTTAAGTGCACATGGAACATTCTCCAGAATAGATGACACATTAGGCCACAAAACAAGTCTCAACAAATTCAAAAAACCTGAAATTATACCATGCATCTTTTCTTACCGCAATATTATGAAACTAGAAATCAACCACAAGAAAAAATTTGAAAAGCACATAATACGTGGAGACTAAAAACGTGCTACTAAACAATGAATGGATCAAAGAAAAAATCAAAGAAAAAATAAAAAATTACATGGAAACAAATTAAATGAAAACACAACAGTCCAAAATCTTTGGAATACAGCAAAAGCAGTTTCAAGAGGACAGTTTATAGCAATACAGGCCTACCTCAAGAAGCAGGAAAAACAAACGACCTCACACCTAAAAAAGCTAAAAAGAATAAAACCCAAACCCAGCCAAAGGAAGGAAATAATAAAGATAGAATAAAAATTAGAGCAGAAATAAATGATATAGAAACAAAAAAAAAACCAATACAGCAGATCAATGAATCCAGGAGCTGGTTCTGAGAGAGAGAGAGAAAAAGAGAGAGAGAGAGAGTGTGTGTGTGTGTGTGGTTAAGAGAGAGAGAGCATGCATGCAAGCAGGGGAGAGAAGGAGAATCTTAAGCAGGCTCCATGCTCAGCACGGAGCCCAAGGTGGGGCTTGATCCCATAACTCTGGGATCATACCTGAGCCAAAATCAAGAGTTGGACACTTAACCCAGGGGCTCCCAGGAGCTGGTTCTTTGAAAAGATCTACAAATTGACAAACGTGTAACCAGACTCATTAAAAATAGAAAGAAAAAGAGAGAAAGAAACTCCCAACAAACAAAGGGCCAGGGCCAGATGGCTTCACAGGCAAATTCTGTCAAACATTTAAAGAAGAATTTATACCTATTATTCTCAAACTACTCCAAAAAACACAAGAGGAAGAAAAATTTCCAAATTCATTCTATGAGGCCAGTATCACCCTGATACCAAAACCAGATAAAAATACCACAAAAAAAGAGAACTAGAGTTCAATATCTCTCATGAATATCAATGCAAATATCCTCAACAAAATATTAGCAAGCTAAATCCAAGAATATGTTTAAAAAATCTTATAGCACTACCAAGTGGGATTTATTCCCAGGATACAAGAATGGTTCAATATTCGCAAACAAAGTGATACATCACATCAATGAGGATAAAACCATATAATCATTTCAATAAATGCAGAAAAAGCATTTGACAAAGTACAACATCCATTCATGATAAAAACCCTCTGCAAAGTACATCTAGAGGGAACAGACCTCAACATAATAAGGACCTTATATGAAAAACGCACAGCCAACATACACCCAATGGTGAAAAACAGAGCTTTAAGGTCAGGAACAAGACAAGGATATCCATTCTCACCACTTTTATTCAACATGTTACTGGAAGTCCTAGACACAGCTATTAGAAAACATAAAGAAAGAGAAGGCATCCAAATTGGGAAGGAAAAAGTAAAACTCTCATTATTTGCAGATAACATGTTACTATATAGAGAAAACCCTAAAGACACCACCAAGAAACCACTAGAATTGATAAATACAGTAAACTCACGGAATACAAAATAAATGTACAGAAACCTTTTGCATTCCTATACAGTAATAATGAAGCAACAGAAAGTGAAATTAAGAAAACAATCCCATTTACAACTGCCCCTAAAACAATAAAATATCTAGGAATAAATTTAACCAAGGAGATGAAAATTCTGTACTCTGAAAACTATAAAACACGGATGAAAGAAATTCAAGACAATGCAAAGAAATGGAAAGATATTCCATGCTCATGGATTGACAGAACAAATATTGTTAAAACGTCTATACTACCGAAAGCAATCTATAGATTAAATGCAATCCCTATCAAAATACCAACAGCATTTTTCACAGAGAACAAACAATCCTAAATTTTGCATGGAACTACAAAAGGTCTTGAGTAGCCAAAGCAATCTTGGAAACACTGGAGGTATCACTAGTTCAGATTTCAAGTTATATTACAAAATGGTATTAATTAAAACAGTATGGTACTGGCATAAAAACAGACACATAGATCAAGGAAACAGAACAGAAAACCCAAAAATAAAAGCACAGTTATATGGTCAATTAATCTTCAATAACAGAGAAATAAATGGGAAAAAGACACTCTCTTCAACAAATAATGTTGGGGACTCTAGACAGCAACTGGACCACTTTCACCTACAGAAAAATACAGTCAAGATGGATTAAAGGTAGGGGCACCTGGGTGCCTCAGTCAGTTAAGCATCCAACTCTTGATTTCAGCTCAGGTTCTTGAGTTCAAGCCCCATGTCAGGCTCTGCTCTAACAGTGCAGAGCCTGCTTGTGATTCTCTCTCTCTGCCCCTCCCCTGCTCATTCTTTCTCAAAAATAAACTTTAAAAAAAAAGTCTAACTGAAACCAACTCTCATGATTGTTGCTTATATCACATTGCCTATAATGTCCTATTCTTCCACTTAGAGGCTAGAAACTTACTTAGGTAGGGGAGCAAAAGTATAAGGATAAAATTATTTTGGAATTGGTTATGAGATTGTGTTCTTTACCATGTCATTCCTGAGTTCATCAAAAGAATTCAGGGTTTGAGGGAAACACATACTTTCTCCCACACAGCTAATGGCTTTTGTTCTGTTACCTAAAATGGAGGATACATCAAACTCCTTGTTCTGGAATGAGTTTAGTATAATGATAGTGGTACATGTTGCTTAAAATGCAACATGGTATACTCATTTATACTACTTATTTTCAACCAAATACATTACTTTCTGAGAGAAAACAGCAAGATTACTGTGAAGGAAAAAAAAAAAAACCCTGAACAATCAATATCACGGTTTTCAAGGATGAGGGAAATAATTCAAATGATAGCTCAGAGAGTAAATCAAGAAGGAGCTGGATCGGGGCGCCTGGGTGGCTCAGTTGGTTAAGCATCCGACTTTGGCTCAGGTCATGATCTCAAGGTTCATGGGCTCGAGCCCCACATCAGGCTCTGTGCTGACAGCCAGCTCAGAGCCTGGAGTTTGCTTCGGATTCTGTGTCTCCCTCTCTCTCTCACCCTCCCCTGCTCATGCTGTCTCTCTGTCTCTCTCTCTCTCTCAGAAATAAATAAAAACATTAAAAAAAAAAAAAGAGCTGGATGCCTAATGGCTCAGGCAGTTAAGCATCCAACTTTGGCTCCAGTCATGATCTCATGGTTCATGGGCTCGAGCCCCGTGTCAGGCTCTGTGCCTGGAGCCTGTTTCAGATTCTGTGTCTTCCTCCTCCCGCCCCTCCCCCGCTCGTGCTGTCTCTCTCTCGCTCTCTCAAAAATTAAAAAAAAAAAAATGTAAAATAAAAAAAGAGAGAGAATGACCTATAAACATGCTACTTGTATGTAAGGTGTTACTAGCAGAGGGAAGAACACCCATGATTCCATTAAACATAAAGAACTAGAGGACAGAAGCATATGTACCAGAGCACACAAACTATATGAATATGAACATGAAACAGATACACAGATCAATAAATTCACCTTTAGACGACTGGAGTCCAGCCTCAGGGCTGAAAGTAATGGATCCAGAGACTCAAACTCTGCAAGAACATGGCTGTAGGACTCCGGTATCACTGGCACATAAGTCATTTAGCTGGAAAGTTGAAACTATGTTGAGTAACAGGCACAGTATTCCTGAATAAAACCTGCAAAAAAATAATAATAATAATTTTAGGAAGCTCCTTGCTCAGTTAACAAGCATTTAATGGATACACGGAGAACATAAACACGAGAAAGGGACAAAGGACACCTACTGGAGATGAAGACTCTGTAAGCTAACACAAGAGTTACCTGTTCAGCAACTCTCAAGTGTACATTTTTGCCAAATTGCTCCAATTTCCAGAAAAGAAACAAAATTTAAGAAAATTCTTACCCATTAATTTTACCTTTTCTCAATTTTTGTAACATGCCAAATAAAGAATAAAAGCAGACACTACAGGGGTGCCTGGGTGGCTAAGTAGGTTGAGTGCCCCACTCTTGGTTTTGGCTCAGGTCATGACCTAGGGGTTCATGCAAGCCCTATGTTGGGCTCTGCACTGATGACACAAGAGCCTACTTGGGATTTTCTCTCTCTCCCTCTCTATCTCTCTTACCCCCCTCTCCCCTGCACTCTCTCAAAATAAACATTAAAAAAAAAAAAACCAACACTATAGAAAAACTCAGAAACCACAGTTTATACTTGTATTTAAATTACTTAGTTTTTTTTCCAGAATATGTATTCACTTATTCAACAAATATGTATATAGTTACCAGCTAGACCCCAAACCTCGGCCTTTACTGCTCACCTGCTTGTTCCTACTAACCTCTGTCCCACAATTTTCCTTAAGCTCTTCTTTCCAGCCTACATCTTAACTCAGCAAAAGACCAGATGGGCAGAACATCATGTGAGGGAAACTGAAACTACCCCTCAAGCAATGACTGCCTAGACAGGAGCTCTGGCGGCCCAAACCACCCAAACCAGTTTGAGCTTAACTCCTGACTCATGCAGTGCAGACAGACCATGAGTGACCCAGGGGAGTGCCCAACAGTCACTTTTACCTCATTTGAATATGAAAATCTCCACCCAAGGAGGAGCACAAGCCTTCTTTACATAATATATACAATGTATGTATAAGCATATTTCCTAAAGGAGCATGTGTGGTGCTCCTACATAGAGGTGACAAGGCTCCCCTTCTAAATATTCATTCTAACCCTAAAACAAACAAATTCACCCTTTCACAGGGAGTCATAGCTTTGAAAGTTATTCCCCATGATCTCCCTGTTTGCTGCAAATTAAGTTTCCTCTGTGCAACAACTCTACCCACCGTAGCTTCTACCTGTGACTCACAGGAGTGAACCCACGTTTGTTCAGTTACAATAGCACCAACTTGTGCATTGTTCTAGGTCGGGGAGACAAAATAGAAGACAAAACAAAGTCCTAACATTCACGGAGTATACTTTCCAGTGGCAAAACACATATTAAGTTTATGATGTTTTTTATTGCATACACATAATATAGTCGTATCTCCTCTTCGTTATACTATTCTTAATACAAGAATACCATTCCAAAAAGAAAACCAAACCTTTAGTAGTCCTAGACTCAAAATATTTAAGAATTCCAGGGTGCCTGGCTGGTCAGTCAGTGGAGCATGAGACTCCTGAACGTGGGGTTGTGAGTTGAAGCCCATGTCAGGTGTAGAGATTACTTAAAAATAAAATCTTTAGGGGTGTCTGGCTGGCTCAGTGGTTGAGCATCTGACTCTTGATTTCTGATCAGGTCATAATCTCACGGTTTGTGGGTTTGAGCTCCACTCTGCTGACAGTGTAGAGCCTGCTTGGGATTCTGTGTCCTCTCTCTGCCTCTCTCACTCTCTCTCTCTCAAAAATAAATAAACATTGGGGTGCCTAGGTGGCTCAGTCAGTTAAGCGTCCGACTTCAGCTCAGGTCATGATCTCACGGTTTGTGGGATCGAGCCCCATGTCTGGCTCTGTGCTGACAGCTCAGAGCCTGGAGCCTGCTTCAGATTCTTAACTCCCTCTCTCTCTGACCCTCCCTTGCTCACGCTGTCTCTCTCTATCAGAAATAAATAAAACGTTAAAAAAAATTATAAAATAAACATTTAAAAAATAAAATAAAATCTTTGAAAAATGCTTCTTTTGAGAATTCTTGACCTAAGGAAAAAAAATCTCTCATTTTTTTTCACTTATTTATTTTACTGAGTCCCTAGTGAAATATGAGGCACAGTGGTGGAAACAAGACAAAATAATTCCAGAAATCAGTCTCTTTATAAATAGGGAGGAAAAGAGCATGCACGCACACATGCACATACACTTCATAAGGAAAACATAAGCAAAATGCTATGTTGGAACTTACAGGACAGAAGAATCACATTTCATACTGAGTTATAGCGAACCATAGAACACTTCTTAAGGGAACACTTCCACTGGAATGGAATAGGCTTTTATCAGAAGGAAAAGGGAAAGGGCAGCAATAAGCAAAAATACAGAGGATACATTCAGAGAATACAAGTTTAGTCTTTGGTTGAGACATGTGATACAAGGAATGGAGTAATAAAAAATAAAAGTAGAATAGTAATTCAACACAAGGCATGAAACACTTTTAATTTCAAACCAAAGAACCTTAAGAAATTTTAATTTCGTAGGCAACAGAAAGACATCAAAGGATTTGGTGTTAGGCAATCACATAATTTCTGTGAAGTTCTGTGGGCACACACTAGAAAACAAAAACTTAAGAAAAGTGGTGAGTGGTAAGGCAGTAAAGACAAGGCCTTTCAATTACTCAAGAAATCTAATGGAAAAGGAGAAAATCTCTCTGGGCTTTCTGAGCAGGAGAGACTCAGATGTGTAAAGTAGCTAAGAGTCTTTAGAATGAAAAAGAATGAAGACACAAGAAAAAGATAAAACCATGGTACAAGATCCTAAAGCAGATGGTGTCTTTCTCTTCCAATTGTGATCTTACACTTTGAAGTGGATAGGCCATCCGGCTTTGATCTCAGTGTTCTGCAAGTTATAATTTAATGAGGTAAAACAAAACCAAACCTAATAGGTTCCTATTTTTTAAAAAATTTATACTTAATGGGAAATGAGAATGAAAAAGAAACAGCATAAGCAATGTCAGTTCTCAACAGAAGTTGTGGGGTGACGGTGTTAAGCCAACTCCAAATTTATACTTTCCTTTGGGCTTTTTCTCTCTCTTTAATATTGCGATCTGATCACTTAGAGCTTTTACTAATTATTTCTAATTGTGTCTTCTGCAGTTTAAAGGTATGTTTACTTCTTCCAAAACAACCCTTCAGTATTTGAAAAGTGTTATCAGGTCTTCTAAAAATTTAACATTCCCAATTCTTCAATTATTTCTGGCATAACAAGTTCCAAATTCCTCTCTCTTCTTGTCAACCTTCTACGAAGGGAATTTAGTTTGCCCAAAATATGGTGCCTAGAACTGTACATAATACTCCTTGAGTAGCTGAATAACAAAGAACAGAAAAGAAACAGTAAAACTTCCTTCATCTGGACATTAAATTTCTATATTATAACCTAAAACAGCATCGTTTTTAAAGTAGTCATGTCACACTTTTGACTGAACTAAAATTTTCACATAATCTTCCTAGCTAGTACTTAAATATAATAGAATCGAGCTCAAATTAAAATCTACTATTAAGTGTGACAACGGATATAAAAATTATTTACACATTTAAATTCTCTGTAATAAAAACAGTAGAACGCTGACAACTGTTAGAGACAGATTAGGAGTACATGCGGGGTCATTTTATTATCCTACTTGTATCTGCAATTTTCCATAATCACAATATTCTTTTCAGTACCTACTTTTAAAAAGAAATCTCTGAAAAATAAATAAAATAAATAAAAAGAAATCTCTGTATAAACCTTCAAAAGCTCCCCCTCTTAATTTATGATCTCATCCTTGTTTATCTTACCAGCCTCATTTTCCACTTTACCCCTATTTTCCAACTATACCTTGCTAATTTTTGTTCCTCTTTCATTGTATACACTTCCTGTGCCTCTATGGTTCAATAGATTCTGTTTTTTGGATCTTCATCTATCTAATAAAATCCTACCTTTCTGCAAAACTGGGTTTACACATTTCTTCTGTTGAGCCTGCACACCTCTAGACAAAACAAAAACAAACCTAAGCAATTAGAAGGTGGCTATAAATGGTTATCCAAGTCAGGAAAACAACTTGGCTTGCCCAAGGTTACAGAGCGCCCTAATCTAATCACCTTTCCACTTCCACGCAATCCTTGATAGTAACAAAAACGAGGAGTAGGATTAAGAAAAGGCTTTTATCATCGCCCTAGTACTCATTTTACCAATGGACCAGTGTTTGCTGCTTACACATTAAAAGCAAATCACAGCATTCTTTCTCCCTCCACTAACTACGTGGAAGGAGAAGGACTCAAGCAAAAAGTAAAGATACTATGCGAAGGGGAAATAAGAGATTCCACCATTCCATCGTGGGATCTTTCTAACCAAGAATAATCAGAGAACTCTTCACCTCAGACAGAGAAATGGCCATTCACACACGCATCACGCAGTCAACATTCTTCGTACCCACCGCCGGACACACTCCCTGCCCACAAGAAACTCCCTAGCGGAACTAGTTAACTTTTTAGCTGCGATATCTTTAACACTGTATTCAGATCTTGAGGAGAGAAGCCTCGGTAACCAAGTTTTCAAAGCCAGGCTCTCAGACCAGCAGCCCGGAGGTCTCATCTCCGCTCCACCAACTCCAAGGCCAGAAGCCCCCAATTCTGAATAGATCGGACCCTCTCTCACGGATGGCGGCTGCGGCACTCACCTAGCAATTAAGAACGGTACCGGAGAGTCTTTCTCTCCTTCCGTACCTCCCCGCCCTCGTTTGCGTCATCCAGATGCGCCGGGGACGCGGGGACACCGCTATTAACGGCACTTCCTTGTCACGTGATGGGTTACGCCCCTGCTTGCGCGTGGTCCCTCCCCCCTCCGGCCGCGGTCGCAATTACGCTCTCTGCGGCCTGCAGTCCGCGGGCTGCTGCTGGCCGAAGACGCAGCGCAGTCGGAGATCGAAGGAGCGTTAGGCCAAAGGGGTGAGCCAGCCAGGATTCTGGGACCCTTCGCAGCTTGAGGCCGGCGAAAGGAAATGAAACAGGCGGGAACCAGCGGGGGAGGGAGGGAACTAGCGGAAGGTGTCATGGCGGCCGCGCTCTGGGTCACGTGGCCGGCAGGCCCGCCTTGGTACTTCCGGTCACGTGTCCTCAGAGTCCTCGCAGCCAGCGATGGAGGCGAGACCCCCCAGTAACAGAGGCGGCGGCGACGGCGGTGGCTACTGGGTTTCAGTCTCTTCCCGGCAGCGTCTCTAAGAAGCGCAGCGGAACTCGACCCGACCCAGCCCAGTTACTCACTTCCTGCCCAGGGCCGTAGTTCTCACTTGGTAAGTTTAGACCGAAGAATGGGGGCGGGTGCGAGGGTGGGTGAGGAGCTGACAGGCCTGGGGGCCGCAAGACGGCGCGGATTCTACCCCTTTTCCCAGTGCCCCTGTTGCTATTGCCACAGCTCCTAAGCCTGCCGTCTCGGTAGCCCTTTATTGTTCAGAAGCGAGGAATAGGCGACCCCTAATCTACTGGCCTATAGGAAGTCTGCCCCTTTACCAAGAGCAGGGACTCGAAGATTTACCCAAAGCACGGGTTCGACTTGGATTCTGAGAATGAAGGACGTGGAGGCCTCTGACTGACAGAGGAGCCCTTCCCGTTAGGAAATGTGCTGTTTAGTCTTTCGGTTTCTGTAGGAGAGCAGCTTTCACTGTAGTGTCCGTCTACACACTTTTTGCTTGACTTGTCAATCCTCCGGCTTCGTAAAAGCTTTGAAACACATATGCCAATCCACACCCCCGGTTTTGGTCCGTGCCCAATTTGATTGTCTTGTAATGATGAAAAACAGACCGCTATCCCATGGAAATGTGTAATTATTTTATAAAATCCCCAGTGTTCTGAGACTAAATCGACTAAGGAAGTATATTCAATTGACTCTTAAACACCCATTTTGGGGTCTGTATAGTTGGGGAGAGGGAAGAGATCTAGAAACTTAACCTTTAGTCCATTAGAAGACAGTGTGAAAAATAAAAACTAAGTGGTTTGAAATACATACTGTAGGAAGTATTAACTCCATAAAGGAATGGAATAGTTTCTCCCCACTAATTCTTCCTGGGAACTCTTGTTATACAAAACAGCGTGCTCTGATGGAATCCAACTTGGGAGCCCCGAGCCCCACCCAGTTGGCCTCCCCTCTTGGAACACAGTTTGAAAACCACTGAACTGGGCTTTGATAAATAAGCCAAAGTTGCCAACCCCAAGATAGCGTTTTAAAGGCAGAACTAGAACGAATGACACGGAGAAGTCCCAACAGAAGGGAAGATAACCTGTAGTATCAGGCCTGTGGCTTGCAGAAGGAATGGACTCTGAAGAGAACTTTGTACCTTTTAGCAGACCTAATTCCTAATTTGGGAAGGAAGGAAAGATAATTTGGGGCTATTAAACCTGTCCTTTTAGCCTCACTCAGCTGACATTTAGCAGTGCAGCAGATTGAAACTTTGGATTTCCCTAGGTGATATTAAGTATATATGGTAGTGCAACTGTTAAAAAAATTATCCACCTAGATGCAGAGAGAGCTCTTTACAAACACCAGAAGATGGGTACAGAGAGGAATCAGTTTAATAAACCAAACAATCAGCTTCCTGCACATACTGCCCTCGAGGCATGTAACTTCTCCCTGCTGGTTTATCGTTAAACCTTTTAGCCTTGCTTTTCTGTGCTGCTGGGTTTTTCCCCTACCATCTAGCTTCCCTAGCATTTTGACCAGTATTTCTACCTGGTGGATACTGCTGGTAGAGGTGCCTTGTGCCCTTCCTCTTTTCTCTCTTAGCTTGCCTTTAATGTGGCAGCATCAGGCATCCAAGCAATAACTAGTAAGTCCCTTCCTTCCCCACTTTGGTTACCGACTGATTGCTTTTCTCATGGTTTGGATATTATACTCTTGTCAGCATGCAGTATTAGTGAATATGAGCATACATTTCATTCTGTCTTGTGTCTGTCGCATTTTTCCTCCTTCTGCCTCTCCCTGCACTGCTGTAAAAATGAAAAAGTGCTTGGTCTCAAAATTGCTACATTAGTTACTACCCTGAATAGCTTCATTGTGTGTGTAACTTTCATTAAAATGTTAAATTTTGGTCACTTTTTACATACTTCCGAGGTCCTGTTCCCTGTAATGCTGGATTGTTAAAATTTTTTTGGATTGCCTCAGCAAGCAGCATTCCAGATCTCCATTTTGTATCCTGGCAGATAGAGCAGCTCTCTCTAATAATCCTCATTTTAGAGGATGATATGGAGTCACTTGTTGTCCTTATTTCTACCCCATTTATCTGTGCATATTAGAAGAGAAATGCAATTTAAAGATTTCTGTTGAATAGTTTGATATTCTTCCTATCCCTGTTTCCTTAAAAGCCAGATATTGGAATCTCTGAGGAATGATACTGTGATCTCTGAGTAGAGAGTTGTAATGCTTCTTGGAGTTTAGCCAAGAATGTATGTATGAAAGTGTCTTCTGTATCTTACCAGGGTGGTGTTCTTTTAACACCAAGTATCTTAAATAGATAATCACAGATGTTTATTGGACTCTTCATATGGGCTAAATATGCTGCTAGATGCTGTATTGCAATGAATACAACACATGCATCCTTTTCCCTTTGTGAAGCTTGCAGTCTGTCAGGGGAGACAGACATTCAGAGAACTACTTTAAAAATTAATTATAGCTGTGATAGTGCTATCAAGAAAAAAACAGAAGGTATTACCTAGTAACTGTGAAACTTAGAGTAGACAAAAAAATGACTAAAAGCCAGGTGATGAGGAGGAGGAGAATGTACAAAGGCTCAGAGCAAAGCATGTGCATTTACCTTTAGGCAAATATTTAACTGCAAATTAATTAATGCCTTTACTGGAGGATCTTGCTATTTAAAGTGGCAGATGATTTCATAAGGTAAATCTTTTAAGTAAAGCTAGATCTTCATCAGGCTGATTTGTTTAAATGGAACTAACCAATATTTCTCATAAACAAATATTCTGTGGCTCTTCTAGAATTCCTCTGGGAAGAAGTTTTTGCCATCCAAAGAGCCATCTTCAAGAAACATCTGAAAATCACGTAGGGCTCTGTAGGATAGCCCCACTGGTTCTATAAAACTTCCTAAAACTGGTCCTCGTGCAGTTAACAGAGGTACAATGGATGAACAAGGAAATTTACCAAGCAAGTTAGCTCTGAGACCATTGACTAGTCGTTCCAGTGTTCAGTTACTTACCCGTGACTTAGTTTCAATGTTCTCCCAAGTGGATTTTAATATGAATGGTTTTACATGCTAGTAACTGACTCTAGTAGTTCTCCCCATCTAACTTACTCTCCATTCTATAGTTTCTCGGTCTTCACTGTTCTTTCTTACCTTCCTGTCTCAGAAGCTTTTCTGTTCTTTTCCGAAATTTACACTTTATTTGTGCCTGTAGGTCTAGTTAATTGGAAACTCCTTCAGTGATTTTCCTCCATATATGGACATACTTAAAATTGTTTTGTAATTGTGTGCTTTCCTTCTGCCCACAAAGCTTCCCCTCCTATCTTTCAGATTTTAATTCATGTTTCCTAAAATGTGTTTCATATAGTATGCAGCATAATTTCAGGTTATACAGATTGGTTTTTTAAATTTTAAGTTACTGTGTTTATTATAATGAATATAAATTAGTATCAAAGTATTAAGTAGTTTCATAAATATTATATAATTCTTTTGTACATTAAAATTTTAAAGTAAATAAAAATAATAAATTCATATACACATGTTACAGAAATTGAAAATAACAGTTGTTTTCTTACCCATGCTAACACCTCTAACACTTTCCTGTGTTACCTTATAAGCCTGTGGTTTGATAGGAAACAAACTCTTGGAAAGATGTTTTTAAATAACTACTTTCAGGGGCATCTGGGTGGGTCAGTCAGTTAAGTATCTGACTCTTGATTTCAACTCAGATCATGATCTCACTGTTGGAGAGTTCAAGCTCCATGTCTGGCTCTGGGCAGAGCCTGCTTGAGATTCTCTCTCTCAAAATAAACTAATAAATATTTTTTAAAATGCTGCTTTTCTCGTTACAAAATACATATTATAGATAATCCAGAAAACAAAAAGTACATTCAAGTCATCTGTAATCCCATCACTCATAAGTAACCCCTGTGAAGTTGGGTGTATATCTCTCCAAGTCATGAGTATTTGCAAAATAGCATGGTGGAAGTCCAAGGTCAGATTGACCCACATTAAAACCTAGCTACTTCCTTGATGCTTTGGGAAACAGTGTTGATTTTTTTTAAGACCCAGTTTCTTTTATCTGCAAAATGGAACTATTGCTTTAGTGTTTTATTTATTTTTGAGAGAGAGAGAGACAGCGTGAGCAGGGGAGGGTCAGAGAGAGAGGGAGTCACAGAATCCGAAGACAGGTTCCAGGCTTTGAACTGGCTGTCAGCACAGAGCCCAACGCGGGCTCGAACCCATGAATATCTAACTGACTGAGCCACCCAGGCGCCCCAGAATGGAGCTAATTAATAGAACCTATCTCAGGATTGTTTACTGGGACTGAATGAGTTAATGTCTTTAAGGAACTTAGCCCAGTGCCTGGCACATATTAGGCATTGAGTTGTTGTTTTTTGATATAAGCATGGGGCTTGAGCTCTCAACCCTCAAGATCAAGAGTTGCGTGCTCTACCAACTGAGCCAGTCAGGC